GTGTCCCCCTGGCGCTCAGCCCAGTGCTTGCTGAGCTCGTGCCCGCTGAACTCTTGACTGCAGTCCCCACTCTCGCCCCCCTGGCGCTCGGTGCTTGCTGAGCTCGTGACCGCTTAGCTCGAGCCTGCACTACCCACTCTCGCCTGCCTGGGGCTCAGATGGCAGCTGAGCTCGTGCCCGCCCTCCCCACTCTCGTCCCCCTGGCGCTCGGTGGGAGCTGAGCTCGCGGCCCCACTCCCCACTCTCGTCCCCCTGGCGCTCCGTCGCAGCTGAGCTCGTGCTCGCCCTCCCCACTCTCCTTCTGGCGCTCGGTGCCTGCTGAGCTCGCGCCTGCACTCCCCACTCTCGCCCGCCTGGCGCTCAGCGGGGTTCATGCTGAGCCCGTGCCTGCTGAGCTAGTGCGCGCTGACCTCGTGCCCGGCCCTTCCCACTCTTGTGCCGCTGGCGCTCAGCTCAGTGCCTGCTGAGATCGCGCCTGCACTGCCCACTCCAGTCCCTCTGGCGCTCGGTGCCTGCTGAACTCTTGCCTGCACTCCACACTCCCGTCCCCCTGGTGCTCGGTGCCTGCTGAGCTCGTGCCCGCACTCCCCACTCTCGTCCCCCTGGCGCTCGGTGCTTGCTGAGCTCTTGCCTGCACTACCCACTCTCGCCCGCCTGGCGCTCAGCTCGGTTCCTACTGAGCTCGTGCCTGCACTCCCCACTCTCGCCTCCACGGCGCTCAGTGCCTGCTGAGCTCATGCCCGCTGAGCTCGCGCCTGCACTCCCCACTCTCGCCCCCCTGGCGCTCGGTGCTTGCTGAGCTCGCGCCTGCACTCCCCACTCTCTTCCTTCTGGAGCTCGGTGCCTGCTGAGCTCGTGCCCGCTTAGCTCACGCCTGCTGAGCTCGTGCCCGCCCTCCCTACTCTAATTCCTGTGGCCTTCGTGCTTGCTGAGCTCCAGCCTGCTGAGCTCCGGCCCCGCCCGCCCCACTCTTGCCCCCGTGGCACTCAGCCCAGTGTTTGCTGAGCTCGTGCCCGCTTAGCTCTTGCTTGCACTCCCCACTCTCGCCCCCCTAGCGCTCGGTGCTTGCTGAGCTCGCGCCTGCACTCCCTACTCTCGCCCGCCTGGCGCTCAGCTCGGTTCCTGCTGAGCTCGTGCCTGCACTCCCCACTCTCGTCCCCCTGGCGCTCGGTGCCTGCTGAGCTCGCGCCTGCTGAGCTCGTGCCTGCACTCCCCACTCTCGTTCCCCTGGCGCTCGGTGCTTGCTGAGCTCGCGCCTGCTGAGCTCGCGCCTGCACTCTCCACTCTACTCCCCCTGGCGCTCAGTGCTTGCTGAGCTGGTGCCCGATGAGCTCGCGCCTGCACTCCCCACTCTCGTTCCCCTAGCGCTCGGTGCCTGCTGAGCTTGTCCCGTCCCCGTGGTGCTCCTGCTCGCTCGGCTCCGGGCTGTACCCGCCCTCCTCCTCTGCCCTCCCTGCTCTCATCCCTGGGGCGCTCCTTCTTGAAATGGTTGTCCCCGCGCCACCCCTCCTCACTCTTTCCTTCCAACCTCCGGGATCTCCTTCCCCCACTCTGCTTCCTCTCCTCCCTGAGGCACTAGTCTCTGTGGTGCTCGTGCCTGGTGACGTTGTGCCCGTGCTCGTCCTCCTTTGCTCTCCCTCTTCTTGTCCCCGTGGCATTGGTGACTGCTGAACTCGTCCCCGTGGTGTTCGTGCCCGCTGGACTCATGGCGCCACCCCCCTTCTTCTCTGCCCTGCGGCACTCATGCCTGCAACACTCGTGTGGGCGCCAACCTTCCCCACTCTCTTTTCCGCACTCCTCGTGCTCTCGTCCCCTTGGAGGTGCTTGTGCCGGCTGGGCTCATCTTCCTGCTCACTCTCCCTCTTTTCCAGCTCTCCTCCATTCTCCTCTCCTCCCTCTTCCCTTCCTACTCTGGTTCCTCTTCCCTCCCTGCTCTCCTTCATTTGGCTCACATTCCCAGATCGCAGGGGTCCTCGCATCACCACAGTTCTCGTTCCCATGACAATCTCTTGTAAGCTTCACAACAGAGAGTCAGTGGAGTTGAGGTCCCAAGTTGTTTGCTCCCTCTCCTCTGTCCTCTGTCCTCTCCTTTCCTTTCCTTTCTCGTTTCTCCATCACCTTCCTATCTGACTCAACAGTGAGAGCATGAGGGCCAGGCAATCTCAGCATCTCTAAAGCTCAATCTGGAGCACCTGTGTTCACATTCAGCGCCATTCTTTGGGGTTTGACTTATATCTGGGTTCTATACTACTACAATCCAACACCCACCCCCCCCCCCACCCCGCCACACACAGGAGCTGCAGGCTGCTTCCCCTAAGTCAGGGGTGGGGAACCTGCAGCTTCAAGGCCACATGTGGCCTTCTAGGTCCTCAAGTGCGGCCCTTTGACTGAATCCAAACTTCACAGAACAAATCCCCTTAATAAAAGGAACTTGAACTCAGTCAAAAGGCCTCACCCAAGGACCTCTGCTCCTGCCTCCTGCCCTACCCACATGAAACACACAATATATGGGCCAGGGACAGAAGAGTACCAGCAACATTTTCCTGCTAGATACTTTCACAGAACAGGTACAAGTTGCTGAGGCCATCCATCTTCAGTGCTCAATCCCTCCCTGGCTCTTTTCCCTTTCCCCTTTTGTTATTCAGTGCCCACAGGTAGATGGGATCATCTGGGTGGGGTTGCTGTACCCGCCTGTCATCTAAGAGGTCACGGCCCAGCTACAGCTTTTGCAGACATGGTCATTTGCAGACATCCAGAAGGGTACTTTAGTCCATTCCTGGCCAACTAAAATGTCTCTACCCCCAAGAAAGAGGGTTTACTGTAACAGCCAATGGTACTGACAGCACTGAGGATATGTAATAAGTCTAGGACCTGGTGCCCATTTGATAGTCACTGAACTTAGCTGAAGGCAGACCTAACGGTTTCACATTTCTTCCTAGAATCTCTTGTGTCTTAGTTGGAGGAGATCTAAGAGAGCACACCTAACCATGGATCTCCTTCCAAACACCCCCACAAGAAGTTGTCCAGTGTACCCCTGTAGGCTGCTAGTAAATGGGAGCCCATTACACTTGGGGATCACTCCAATTGTCAGGAAGTTTCTCCCTCACCTCAATCCCTCTATCTGCCTCTTTACAACTGTCCCAAGTTCTACACTTTGGAGCCAGACAAGTAGCATGCCTAATCCCACTTCCACGTGAAAGAATCATAGAGTTGGGTCTTCAAAGCCATCTTGGCCAATGCTCACATTCTGCAGAGGCAGCAGAAACTGGCCCAAAGGGGCAGAGGGACTCACCAAATTCGAATAGCTAGTGAGCGGCAAAGTGGGTTCTCCAGCTCAGGTGTTTGGCCTAGAAATGATGATAACATGCTCTGGGCCTGGAGTCAGAAAGTTTTTCAGTCATTTCAGTCATGTCCAACTCTCTACGACCCCATTTTGGGGTTTTCTTGGCCAAGATATGGAGTGGTTTGTCATTTCCTTCTCCAGCCCATTTTACCGCTGAGGAAACAGAGGCAAACAGGGTTAAATGACTTGCCTAGGGTCACACAGCTAGTAAGCGTTTGAGGCCAGATTAGAACTCATGAAGATGAATCGTCCTGACTTCAGGCCCAGTACTCTATCTACTCCGCCATCTAGTTTTCCCAGAGATGGGAAGACCTGGGTTCTGCCTCAGATACTGTGTGACCCTGGGCAAATCAGTGAACCCTTCTCTGCTTCAGTTTCTTCTGCATAAATGAGGGGGTTCTTGATGGCTTCTAAAATCCCTTCTAACTCTAAAATCCATAATCATATGATCCTAGTAGTGGCTTGGAGGGAAAAAATCCACAAAATAAAGGAGAGAGAGGTTTCCACCCAGTCACAAATATGAACTCAATTCTCTCATGATGGATAGCTAGGTAGCTGCTTCAGGAGGGAATGGAGAGGGTGCTGGGCTTGGAGTCACATAGGGAGTTCTGATCTAGCCTCAGAAACTTCCTCGTTGCCTGGCCTGGGCAAGCCTCTGAGCCTCTGTCTGCCTTAGTTTCTTCATTTGTAAAATGAGGATAATTCCAGCCCCTCCATCCCAGGGTTATTGTGAGGATGAGATACTATGTGTAAAGCACTCTGAAATGCTAGCTCTTATTAGTATTATGAGAGAAATGATTATTAGTAACCAATGAATTGGAGAGATTCAGCTTTCCCCCTTTTTCTTTTATCCTCATTTCAAGACTTAAGTCTCTGAAGGCTGAGCTGACCTTCTCCTCTATCCAGACCCCACCCAGATGTGGCAGCCAGGGTGCTCTGCTCAGGTTTGGGTGGGGAGATCACGAAGGCAGCTAAGGAAGGGAACAGACAGCTACAGACAAGTTTCAAGATCAAATCTCCAGCAGAGTGTTCAGAGGTGGGCTGGGAAGGAGTTAGGTAAGCTTGTAAGCAGAGCAGGGTTGAAGAGGGGTGGTCCTTAAGTAGGAGTTGGTATGCTATGCCCATTTGCAGAGTCTGAAGGGACTTTAGAGATTGTCCAGTCCAATCCCCTCTTTTTACAGAAAGGGAGACTGAGGCCCAGAAAGGGGAAGAAACTGATTCATGGTCACACAGCTGGCAAGTATCAGTGTCAGGATCTGACCAAAGGCCTTGGGCTAGAGCCAGTGTTCCTGTCCCCACTCCATGATGCCACTTCAGATGAACCCCCCAGGACATTGCACTGCGATTACTGGTATGTAGGAGGTGATTAATAAATGTTTTTCAACTGATTGCCTCCAATTATAGAATAATAAAAACAACTATTGTAACATGATTTCATTTGATCTTCACAACCCTGGGAGGTTGGTGCTCCTTTTTTTTAATCTGTAAAATTCAGCTAATGGTCCCTGTCTTCAAGGAGCTCCCATTCTGTTGGAGGAGACAGCAAGGAAACAGCTCTGTCTGAACAAGCTACATGCAAGATGGACAGGAAAGAACCAAGAGAGGGAAGTTCCCTCAATTCCAAGAAGGGACTTCTTTGGCTTCCTTTAAGGCCCCCCTTTTGGGGGCAGAATTCCCTTCTCTCTGTTGGTTATTGGACCTTGGCCAAGTCCTTTCCCCTTGCTAGACCTCAGTTATCTTACCTCTAAATTAAGGGTGTTGGATCAGATGACCTCAAGGGACATTTCCAGCTCTGATCACCTATGGCCCTGGATGAATGACTGACTGACTCGATAGCCCTATATACAAAATAATCCCACAGTGATTTGAGGGGGTGGGGTGGGATCCAACAAGGCCTCTGACAGAGGCTACAGGAGCTGAGCCTTGAAGGGAGCTAGAGGTTCCTTAAGGTGGAAATGAGAAAGGAGGATATTCTCCAAGCATGGGGGGAGGAGGAGAACAGATTGCACAAAGGAATAGACAAGGAGATGAAAGGCTGTGAGTGATGGGGGAAATGAGTTACTTGGGCTAGAATGTTGAATGGACAAGGAGGAGGAGTGTGTAGTCAGCTTGGAAAGGTCAGGTTGGGAAAGGCTTTAGAGGCCAAACAGGAGCAGATATTTGATCATAGAAGCAAAGGAAGGTTGGTGGGGGTGGGAGAGGGGTGACATGGTTAGACCTGCACTTTAGGGAGATCACTTTGGTGGCTGAATGGACAATGGACTGGAGTAGGGAGAGACTGAGGCAGGTAGACCTTCCCCCCCTCCCCAAGCTGGCTATTTTAGTAGTCCAGGTGTGAGGTGATGAGGGCCTGCACCAGGGGGTTGTGGTGTGTCAGAGAGATGTTGAGGAAGTCTGTTTTAGAAGGTTTGATAATCAATTGGCTATTGGGGATAGAATGAGAAAGAAGAATTAAGGATAACACCAAGGTTTGAGCCTAGGTTACTGGCAGGATGATGGTATCCTCAGTAACAAGAAAATCAGGAAGATGGAGTGGGTTTATGGAAAAGATAATAATGAGTTCAGTTTTGGATATGTTGAATGTGAGATGCCTACAGGAGATAGAGGTGAAGATGCCCACTAGACAGCTAGAGATGTGGGACTGGAATTCGGGAGAGAGATGAGAGTTGGTTCCCATGAGATCCCTCTCAACAGTAGTTTCTTCTGTGATGTGTGCCTCCCCATTCCTACAGGAGCAGGGACTCTGTCTTTGGGATTTATGCCTTGAGGTTTTACGGGTTGTCCCATGCTTTGAGGCACCTCTCTTTTTGTGAGGAGTGTCTACTCACCATCATGGTCCCAGTAGAGTTTCCTCTGTAATCCTTCCATGTTTGTCCATCAAGGCTATGCCTGATGGTGAACTGAGAGATGTAGAGGCTGGAGAATTTCTGTCGGGCTCCTTGGGTCTTGATACCATGGATAATCATTGGCTCCAACAGGTCAACCTGCCAATCAAGCCAGAATCTTATTTTACTCTGTCCCGTGAACACTTGGGATCATTTTTTGGGAAACTCAATTCAACAAGCATTAATTTATTAAGCTTATTCTATGTGCAAGGCCTCATGAGAGGGATGGCAGGTGGACAGCCAGAGTGTTCCACGGGTACCCTGAATGTCAGGATAATGTGAGGAAGGTCACTAGCACATGAGGAAAAGGCAGCCCCTCCATAGCTATCTCACTAAAGGACATGGAGAAGATTAACACAGAATGGGTTGGTGTAGATGGGTAGTGATTTCTAGCACCAAAGAGAACTCACAGAGGGATGAGATCAGGGGCAGCTAGGTGTTGTAGTGGACTCCCCCAGCCCTGGAATCAGGAAGACCTGAGTTCAAATCTGGCCTCAGACACTTGACACTTACTATCTGTGGGTCCCTGGGAAAGTCACTTAACCCCTATTGCCTCACCAAAAAGCAAAAACAAAACAAACAAAAAAAAGGGATGAGACCATATAGTGCCATCGTATCATTGGAGGATGGCCCAGACCCTCTGACAGGCACTGGCAGACATAAACACAAACAAAAAAATACTCCCTGAACTCAAGGCACTCACATTTACTGAAGGAGTACAATGTTTGCATAGAAATCAAAATAATCGATTTTAAAGAGCCAGAGAACACTAAGACCAGAAATGTAAAGGGCAAGAAGCAGTACTGCACATAGATGCTCAAATGTGGGGGAAGCACAGGGTGCCTCTCCCAAAGTCTGAGGCTCCTCCCCAAGGACTCCTTTGGACCATCACTTACTCACATCACCGCTTACCATCTGAAGGTCATACCATCACTCCTCCCACCCCCCACTGCATCCTCCTCACTTTGGACACTAATCTCATCGTTGTTTCAAGCCCTCCTACCCAGTAGTATCTCTCTAGGGACTCTCTCAATGACACTCATCATTCTCCCAAGCAGCCAGATTCCAATCAAGCAAGCAAGCACTAGGGATGTCTGAGACCTCTCTTCCCCTTCTCTTCCCAGAACCAATCACCAAATCCTGCCAATTATTCCCTCCAAATATTTCCTGTATTAGTCTCTTCCTTTATCTTCTACCTCCAGCCATTCTAGCTACCTTGAGGACCTCATCACTTTTTTCCATTCTATTCAACATTCCTAGTGTGCAGACCCTTGGGTCAAACACTGAGAGAGACACAGAGCTGAGATAGGAGTGGGGATCAGCAGTGACCCCAGGTACAGGTATCTGACCTAGCTCCACCATGAAGGGAGCTTTCATCTGCTTGTGTTATGGAATGAGGCCTGGCAGGGCTTCTCCCAATCCTACTTTACATCATTCAACCAGGGCTATAGATGATCAGAGGTAGAACTGTCCCTCAAAGTCATCTGATCCAACACCCTCAATTTAGAGATGAAGGAACTGAGGTCTAGCAAGGGGAAAGGACTTGGCCAAGGTCCAAGTATTCAACAGATTGGTCCATCAACCAAAAAAGGTCTTGAGAAAGCCTTGAACGCCAGGCAAAGGAGTTTGAACAGAACCCCATAGTCAACAGTGATGGAATATTGCCTCTGATGCTCTGGCTCTAAACCTTGATGAACTTTGGGACATTAAGCTGGATGAAGAAGAGAGTGACTGGGCAGCCCTGGACAGTTCCCCTCCTCCAGCCCCCACCCCCACCAATTTCCAGTGGATGACTCTTGCCTTACCAAGCCGTGAAATAGGTGAGAGAGCCTTGACTTTAGAAATGAATAAATTCCTCTCATTTGAGGCCACTCCGGCCACTTGATAACTGGCCATTCAGCCTCCTGGAGGGCCAAGCAGAAGCAATTGTCAAACAACAGGAGCTTGGTGCCCCACTCCAGGCTACACAGGTATAGGGCTGTGCCAGCTTTGCCCCCGGGGTAGTCAGTCAGTGCTTGCCAGGCTAAGGTCTCACTCAAATAAGTCTATATTCATTTGCTCACCATTCAGAGACAGATATGTATCAGCTCATGCTGGACTTTGCCCATGCTTCAGGTTACTAGGCTGCCTGCTGCCCCAGGCCCACTGTGCAGTGTTCTGCCACCATTGGCTCCTTCACTTTGGATGGTGCTTTCTGGGCAAACTGGAGTTTAACCCTCATTTTTGGTCTATGCTTATCCCCTAAGTTGCCATGGCAACAGTGAATGACCCCTTAGGGAGTTCAAAGAAGTTCAAGGTTCAAGTAACCCTGAGAGAAGCCATATGGTGAGCAGATAACTATAGAGCCCCAAGGAAACCCAGAATCACTGCATGGATCGACTCTCAAAGAAAGGAGTAGTGTGGAAAATAAGCATTTCTATAGTGCCTACTATGTGCCAGGCCCTGTGCTAAGTGCTTTACCGATATGATCTCATTTGGTCAAGGAAGCTGGTGAACTGAGCCTAATTCTGAGCCCTGCCCCATTGTCCAGAGGGCGAGCCCAATGTCCTATCAACCTGTTCGTAGCTCCTGGATGCTGATGTGGATTTATCTGGAGTTTTACTGTAACAGTCTTGATGGCCTCTCCAATTCAGCCTCCAACCACCATCCTAATATACAGCTCTAACTGTGTCACTTCTTTGCTCAAGGACTTTCAGGGGATCCCTACTACCTGTAGGATCAAATCCCAATTCCTCAGCCTAGCACTGAAGATCTTCCATGACCACTCCCCTGCACACGCTGAACATTTCCTGCCAAGTCTTACCCCTATGCCCCAAACCTAGAATGTGCTCCTTCCTTACCTATGTCTTAGAGAACCCCCTTAGCCTCAGCTTAGGAACCTCCTCTTCCTCCACCTCCTCCTCCCTTTTCTCCCCCTCTTCCTCCTCCTTTCTCTTCTTTCTCCTCCCTCCTCCTCTCTCCTTCTCTTCCTCCTCCCTCTCCTTCCTTCCTCCTCTTCCATCTCCCAGAACCTTTCCCTGACACTGTTCCCCAAAGCCCTCCCCCAGTTGAAGGTGTTCTCTTCCCATCTTCCTCAGACTCTCCCTTGATCTGGGTTTGCCCTCCGCCCTCATCACATCCTACCTCATATTAGCCTTACAGCATCTCCCCCAGCCACTAGAACATAAACTTCTAAACGGCAGGGACAGTGTAGCCACAGCACAGTGCTTTGTATATCAGAGGTGCTTAATGAATGCTCATGTCCTGGAATGTGGTACAGTTCTGGGCTTCTCTCAGGATGATGCCATGTCAGTATAAGGCCTACCTCAATCCAAGGATTGGCATCCTGGGTGCTCCAGGCATTGATAGACCCGGCAGAATTAAGTCTGGCCAGCTTTGGGGCCCACTGGCCTGCATTAAACAAAAGGGAAAGAGATTTGAAGCATCTCATTATTCATTCACACCTCCCTTGTTCCTGACAGTCCTGGTCAGCTCCAGGAAAGACATGAGAAAATGCTCCACCTTTTCCTTTTGGTTGGAGACTTTGGGGGTAGAATGTTGTATACACTGGTAGTCGGTTTTGCTCAACTGTTTTGGGTTAGGGTTTGGGGGTAGCTGTGTAGGGGGGAGTTACAAGGGAAGGTTCACTGGAAGGGGATCTGTAGCTAAAAATGACTGATTTACAAACAAAAGGCATCAGTAAAACTCTTAAAAACTAAATCAAAGGAAAGGGACTAGAGGGGCTTAAAGGATGCTCCCAGCCTCCCCTTTCTAAAAGTCTATGATATAAGGTGTGGATGTCTGGTGATATAAGGGCCCTTCTCTTAAGCTGGATGGTCAGAGGCGTATAACTCCAGGGAGCTGCATTTTTCAGGGACCTGTCACTATCCAAGTTGGAGTTTACTTTCAAACAGGCCCAGAAAGAACAGCCCCCAGGTCATCAGGCCATTGCCAAGCTGGGTCCTCGATGGGAAGTCCTGATTTCTTTGTATGAAGCTTCCCTAGTAAGAAACCAGCCATTCTCTCTAGTTATGGGGCTAGCTCCCCATCACCCTGGCACATAGCCACCTTGCCCCTTTGCAGGAGCCTCTCCCTTTTCCTTATTGGTCATTAGTACAGTTTGTTAGTGACTCAGGTCAAAGGTTTGGTGGGAAAACCAAAGAAAGACTTGAGAATACCTGAGCCATTTCATTATTTCTCGTAGACAGTATGTCCCAAAAGTCTTAATGTGGTCTTAAACTTTAATAGCTTAAAATTGTGCCAAGACTTTTGGGACACTGTGTATTAGAAAGAGCCAAATGAAATTGTCCCATCTGCTGAGAATCAGAACCCAGGGCTGCTGGAAACGCTTAAGCACTGAGGAAATGTGCAGAGCAGTAGAGGTGAGCACTGGGAGGGAAGCACTGGGAGAGAAGCACTGGGAGATGTGTTCTTTGGTGCTTAGGGAGCGATGGCAGGACAGGACAAGGCTCCAGTCCTGCACTATTAAGAGCTCAGGCTAGTCGTAAATGGAATGGCATATGGCATGCATATACAACCCACCAGTGGACATCAGGATACTGGAACATGGCTAGAGAGAGGCTAAAGGGCAAACCATGAGAGCTGACTGGCACAAAGGCATGAGAGAAACCTACCAGGCTCACTTACCATATTGTCCAGAAGCTGTGATCTGAGAATCAGCGATCTGGCCAGAGGCCATTCCCAGAGCATTCTGACACTCTACAAAGGAACAAGAGAGAGAGGGAAAAGTGGATAGAGAGAGTCAGGCTTTGGAAAGGGCTTCAGCCAGCTACCCTACTGTTGCCTGAGTTCAGTCTGCAAGAGTAAGCCCTAGACCACAAGCCCTTCTGGCAGCTAACTTGCTTGGAAAACCTTCTCCAAGTGAAGGTGATGGCTCCTTCTAGAGGATCAGGCCCAAAGCCATCTTCTCCATCCTTCAGCAAGTTTCAGAGATCATGGACAACAGGTCCCAATTCCATCCATAAGTTCTTTCAGGACCCTGGGATGTAGTTCCCCCAGCCTGGGGACTAGGACTCCCTGAGGGCAGGGAGGTGCTCTCTTAGCTCATTTCTCTTGGGGCTTCCCTACCCATTAACCATTTTACTTGTGAAGCTTTTGTTTTGAGTCTGGAGATCGAGTTCTCCACTACTACAGAAACTAGAAACAAAGTAAAACTTGAATAGCTCTGACTTTTCCAGGTCATCAATTACCATCATTGCATCCCCTGACCCTTAGGGATTGAGCCCTTTTTCTGATCTTCCTGTCCCCAACATTGCTGGAAAACTCCTGTTAGTCTTTCCCCATCTCTGGGCTTTTCCACTACTGACATTATCCAGACGGGTCCCTGTCCCTCTTTTGGTCTCCTCTTCAGTTACCTTCCTTTACATTTCCTCATCCACAGAGTTCTCCATACCATGAAATTACAGGACAAGACCCTATGCCAAAAAATGATGTGGCCACAGTAAGTTGATTGCTCTGTTCAGTGACTGGGAGATGGGAGTTGGACAGAGACAGCAAATGACAGATGCCCCGGGGAGGGGTTGCAGCTGAAGGGTTTCACATCACCTTCCGATCTAAAGGTAGAATCCAACCATCATGGGTTTTAACTTGCCCAGATGCTTAGATGCATTCAGCATATCAGGGTGGGAGATGTGAGCACAGGACTGCCTAGGAGACAACTCAAGATATTGGACTCCAACACAGGATAATTACCATAATGCCGTTCTGTCAGATTAATGAAGGCAGCCCACACACTGGCAATTTGAGCTCCTTACCCTACAGCAGTGCCCCAACATGTCACATGGAGTGCACACCAAGTTTATACGCAGCACACAGGTGTCATAGCTCATAGCTCCCAATACACCAGGTAAGGATTAAGAGTCTTCCTTACTGTCACTTCCAGAAATCACTCAGCAACATCTACTCCTTTGAAATTCCCTGTATCCATCCTCATCACCCAGTCCACACCCTTGTTGCTGTGTCCTCCTGGTCTCCTCTTCCTCCTTTGGCATGGGGTTCAGTACCTGTCACTCTGAACTCCATGCTAAAGGAGTAGGCGAGAGAGCCTTCCCCTCCATCCTGTGCTCACTCTTGAGAATTTGGATATATAGGTTGCTATCCTATTCCTTTGCACACTCTGGCCTCCCAGCATTCATCAACCTTCTCAGCTGCCAGGGCTTCTATCTCATCTCTCTCATAGCCACCCACCAGCACCTCCATGATATGAACTTGGAAGTTTCCAGCTCTGATCACAGTCTCCTATCCTTTCATCTTTCCCTCTACCTCACATCTCCAGAACCCATTCTCCATCCTGACTACAACCTCTACTCCTTCCATAATCCTTATTACTCTTATCACTCTTGCTTTGCCCAAACTGAGCTCATTCCATAGTCTTGATCAGTCATGCAGTTGAACAAACCACTGTCTTTCCCATCCTTGAGTCTCTTGCCTTCTTCTCCTTCCACTCTTTATGCTCTGCTTAGCCCCAGATCTGCCTTCTTTATTTACACTGAACAGAATTCTGCTGACTGCTGCTGACCACTGTCAGAAGTCACAAAACAGAATCAAGTAATTTCAGAGCTGGAAAGGACCTCAGCAGTCATCTAGTCCAGTGTGATCATCCAAGGAACCTCAACCATACTGACCGTCTTTACTACAAATTCATGTTAGCTAATATCAACTAGGCCTTCACCACTTCCTAGAGATACTTTTATTTTCCCTTGACGCCTGATATCCTACTCCTCACAGTATCTGTTCCAAACCTTCTCTTTCCTCATCTTCTAACCACCTCTCTCCATTTTTCTTATCAGAAGACCTCACATCATATTACCAAGAAAAATGGAGACCATCAGTGGTGAGCTCCATCCTTTCCCTGACTCCCCACTTCAAATACATCCACATTATCCTTTACTCTGTCTTATTTTGCTCAAGTCTCTGAAGAAGGGTGGCCCTTCTAGCCAAAGCCAATCTCACCACTAATGCTTTCGGTTCTAACCTCTCCCATCACTGGGAGTTTGCTCCCTTGATTGTTTTCTCTATCTCTTTCATCTTTAATTTCCCTTTACCTACTGATTTCTTCCCTGCTACCTTCCAATATGCACAGATCTCATAACATTTGATCCTCCCATCCCTTCAAGCTACCATCCAATGCCCCTTCTCCCTTTCAGTTAGGCAACAAGCATTTATTAAATACTTACTATATACGATGTGCTAAGTACACTCTGCTGAGGAATACAAAGAAAGGCAAAAATACAGTCCCTGTCCTCAAGAAGCTCACATGCTAATGATCAAGAAATAACTATAGACATACAAGATATATGCAATATAAAGGGATGGTAATCTGAGGGCTGGGGCACCCAGGAAAGACCTCTTGCAAAAGATAGAATTTAAGCTGAGACTTGAAGGAAGTCAGGGAAACAAGGAGGTAGAGATGAGGAGGGAAAGCATTCCGGGCATGGGGGACAGCCAATGAAAATGTCTAGAGTCAAGAGATAGAGTGGCTGGTGAGAGGAACAGCCAGGAGGCCAGTTTCACTGGATCACAGAGTACATGGTGGGTTATAAGGTATAAAAAGACTGGAAAGTGTTGGGGGGGGAGCAGGTTAAAACCAAGGGTTCAGATTATGAAAGGCTCTAAAAACCAAAAGATTTTATATTTGATCGTGGAGGTAAAAGGGAGCTACTAAAGTTCACTGACTAGGGGGAAGGGGTGATATGATCAGACCTGAGCTTTAGGAAGAGTAGAGTGGGGAGAGACTTAAGGCAAGGAGACTAACCAGCAGGCTACTGTAATAGTCCAGGCAGGAAGTGATGGTGGCAATGTCAGAGAAGAGAAGGGGGTATATATAAGAGATGTTGTAAAAGAAGTATCTGTAGATTTCTCCTGCAGATTGAATATGGGGGGAGAGAGAGCGGGGAGATAATGATGACAACCTCCCCAAGATTTTGAGCCTGAGTGACTGGGAGGATGGTGGTGCCTTCAACAGTACTAGGGAAAGCAGGAAGTAGGCAGGGTTTGGAGAGTGCAGCTGCTCAGTGCTTGGACTAGGGTGGAGGCCACTCATAGAAAGGAGGGTCATTTTTCTTTTTTTTTGTTGTTATTGTTTTTTTTAATTAATTTATTTTGATTTATCAACAATCACTTCCATATGCTTTTGAGTTTAAAATTTTTCTCCCCTTCCTTCCCCACCTCCCTCCCCAAGACGGCATACAGTCTGATATAGGCTCTACATCTACATTCCTATTAAATATATTTTCACATTAGTGATGTTGTAAGGAAAAATTAGAACTAATAGGAGGAACCAGGAGGGTCATTTTTCATTGTTGCCTCCATTCCTCACATCCTTCAGTAGAGTATAAGCTCCTTGGGGGCAGGGAATACAGAGACTATCTTCAATGTGTGTATGCACACTGCCTGGCACATAGCAGCTGCTTAATACATGTGCATTAAATTGAACTGAATTCACACAGAGACACATATACGCACACGCTTGCTTCTCACCCTTTGGGCCATGCATGGGAGAAGAGAGATGTCACAAGTGTTTTTCATTTCCTTTCTATTTGGCTCCAGTATGACTATTTTCTTCGTAAGAAAAATCACCTAACGGCTCAGGTTTTCCTTATTGTATGGCTGAGACTTCCAATTCTGAGTAGGTGTGAAAGAATTTCTGGCTCTGTTTTAGGATAACCATCTGCTAGTTGTAAATTCCAGACTAGCTCCTGTACCAGTTTACAACTGGACTTGTGGTTTTTCTCCAGTTATCTTTGGATGTGTAAACTTCCTACTTCTCCATTTCACAAGCATACCTTTGAAATGTAAATCTTTACATTTTGGCAGCTGTAAATTCCTTTCTCTTTCAGTAGTTGTAAATTCAGTTGTACCTTTTTTCCCCTCTGATGTAACTGGAAACAATATAAGACTTATTAAAAAAAAAAAACCCAAACTTCACCTGATGTTCAGTGGCCATTTAGAACATGAGTCTGTGCATATATAATAAAGATCAGTTCTTAAAAGGTCTCTGTGTGGGCAGCAGTACCTATCAATGAGTCCTTGGATATTTCCATATCAAAGCCTTGCGTTTCTAGTCTCAGCTCTGCTACTGAGATGTTGACAGTTTGACCTTAGCTAAGGCTCTTTCCCCTTTGGGGCCTAACTTCCCTCCTCTCCAAAGGCCCTTTCCAATGAAATGTTCTATAGTCCCAAGCTTAAGACAGCAAGCAATCTAAGGAGGCAGCATCAACTACTTACGCTTGTTGTACACCAGTAAGATGGCGCTCATCCCAGCCTGTTGGTGCTCACCAATCATGCACTCAACCCGCCACAGTCCTACTTGAGATGGCTGCATTTCTATTGTCTCAAAAACACCTTTTTAAGAGAGAAACAGGGTGGGGGGAGGTGCAGAGAGGGCATGAGAGAGAGGTAACTCCTTCTGAGACAGATATTTCCTCACTATCTCATGCATATGAAGATTCTCATGTCACTGCCTTTTCTGATGGCAATCCTATGCCACCATGCCTCAAAAACGAGCCATCTAAGACATGCAGTGAAATGAATACCTTCCAAACTGGAGCACTAGATCCTTCTTCTGGCCCAATTCTGGACCTCATTTTTCACTAATGTCAGGGTTATTTTCCATTGATGTCAGGGTGTGCTGAGGTGGCAAGTGAAGCCTAAGGACCAGAGTTCTTTCCCTCATGATGAGAACCAGAAGCGTGGGGGCTGTACTGTGAAGGCAGTTTGGATACTTGGAAAGAGGAGATGTGCGTCTGCCTTCCAAAATCATAGGGTGCCATCTTTACAGTCCATATTTGAGTCCCTCTGGCTTTAAGACACAGTGGCACATGCTAGCCATCAAAGGAACCGTAATAACTATATGCTTCCCACATGTGAAGGGCTTTGGAGAGGTGATATGAAAAAAGAAGATGTCATGCCTGTACTTCAGAAAAAGCAAACTCATTGGGAACACAGGACACACATATACATTCAGCCACTCACACATATACATATATGTGTACATACATACATACATGCATGCAGAAACATATGCCAAACAACAGATCACTAAGGACAAGTTCCTACAGTACAAACTAAAGCATATATACACTAAGAGAATGTAGAATAGATGCATGATGCCAGTTGGGTGGCATCAGTTGGCCTTTGGTTCCTGGGAGAAGTGAATCCATCTCAAGTTGTTTTGGAATGAGAGAAGGACTGGGGAAGAGGAGGAAGGAGGGTATTCTAGTCAACAGAAGCACCATGGGTCAGCTCATACCAGGATAGAGATTGTAGACCGCCATTTTATATTCCTTCTTTGTCCGCACAGTGAACACTTGGCCACTGAAGTGAATAGAGTAGATATTTTCATTGCTGCCCATGCTAAGCAGATACCACCGGATCTTTTGGTGCTGAGCCATCACCAATCCAGGCAACGTATCCTTCACATAACCATTGATTGCTAGAGAAGGAGAACATCGGAAAGACGAGTTTGACCTACTAGAGAAGTTGGAGAGTAAGAGGCTCAGATTATACAGAAAGATATAGATGGAGGAATGCAAAGTAGACCAATGTTGACATTTCTAGTTGGAAAGATGCTGCCTCTACACCAAAGATATAGTACAAGTGCTTTTGTAGCTACAACTGTCATGTAGGCTCAGCTCTACAAAGGGCATCACAAGACTTCAGTGGCTACAGCAGCAATAGCTTCTTGGGGAGCAGACTCTGGGACAGGAGGCAGGACTCCTTCCTTACCATGGAAGCGGTTGTTCCTTTGAAAACCAGGGTCATCCATCTGGACCTTGCATGGAGGCTTGCAGTTCCTCTCCATGTTCTCAGTGAAATACCAGCTCTTGGTCTCATCAAAGATGGTGAAGAACAGAGTAAATTCCTGGACGGTCAACTGTCTGCCATAAGACGGGTTCAGTTTGTTAGGGTGACAGATCAGTATTGGCCCAATCAATCCTGAGTGCAGGTCTTTTTCCTGAGAAAGAAAGAAGGAAAAAAAATGGTTAGGAACAAAGAGGTAACTGAACTAGGATATGAAGCCAGGTCTTTTGACTCCAAATCATGTTCTCTTTCTACTATGTCTAGCATTCAACAAAAATGGGGAAGCCTGCATTTTAACCTCAAATATTATCCTTCCTGTGGCTCTGTACTTCAACAGAGACCAAAGCCTGGAGTCAGAAGAATGACTGGTGCTATTTCAGGCAGTTAGCTGAATTCAGAGAAGAGTGCCATGGTGCTATCTACCCTACCCCACTCCCAGGCAGCCCTGATCTACAGCCTGCTGGCCATAGTCCTTGGAAGATTGTCAAGGTATTCAATGTCCTTCCTAAAACTTGGTACTCCAAACTGAACACAATATTCTATTTATATATCTTTTTTTTTTAATGGGGCAATGGGGTTAAGTGACTTGCCCAGGGTCACACAGTTAGTGAGTGTTACGTGTCTGAGGCCAGGTTTGAACTCAGGTCCTCCTGACTCCAAGGCTGGAGCTCTATCCACTGTGCCACCTAGCTGCCCCGGAACACAATATTCTAGACATGGTCTGAATGGAATAGAGTATAGTGGGACTACTACCTCCCTATTTGATACTCTTTGAATTCAGCTGAAGCTTCAGTTTTTAGGGGTGGACACATCCCACTGTGAACTCATACTGAGTCCACTAAAATCCTCAGATCTTCTTCATACCAACTGCTATCCATTCAGACTTCCTCCATCTTGTACATGTGTGAAGTTGATTTTTGTAACCCAAGTGTAAGACTTTACACTGATTCATATCAGGTTTCATCCTCTGTGATTCAGTTCAATCTTCTAGCCTGTCAAGATCTTTTATGGATCCTGCCTGTTATTGAATATATTATCCTCCCCTACTAAATTTTTATGCCATCTGCAAATTTGATAAGTAGGCCATTTATGGCTTTAGCTAAGTCCTTGATCAAATGTGGAATAGCCAAGCTGGACAAACTGGGCATGCCCACCACCAAACACTAACACTGAATTACAGAATTGTTGAAGTGTTGAAGTATTCAACCTCTTATCATCTCCATTGGACATGTGTTGGGCAGACCGTATGTACTGGCACACCAGATCATTCCAAATATTTTAGTTCTGGATGAGAAATTAGCTAGGAAAACAGTTCTTCACTTACCAAGTCAACATCAGAGAAATAAGCCCAGGCCTTACAGTCAAACTCCTTGTCAGTAGGTGCCATATGGGGCTCCACCTTCCAAGAATATGTTTTAGTCTCTTGGGGTTTTACCTCTTTCTTTCTAAGGTCACTTTCTTGCCCCTGATGCTCCTCATAGGAAATGAGGCTAGAATAGAAGGAGTAAGGCCGAGAAGCCTGGTTCTTGAAAGTGACCTGCAACAAAGAAAGAATGCAAACATCTCCACAGAAAGAAGTAAGATCCCCGGGCACATTTCTTATTAAATTAGCCCGCTCTCCCCACCAGTCGTACTTTCATGGCTGTTTTCTCTGGGTTCTCTTACTCAATTCCAGACCTCTGGAGGTCCCTGGATCTGCCTACCTCTCCTGTCTACTTTGGATCACAGGTCAGTCAATTAACATTAATTAAGCACCTACGATGTGCCAGGAACTGAACTAAGCATGGGGGAGGTAAAGAAAGGCAAAAGACAGTCCCTGCCCTCAAAAGAGCCTATATTCTAATGAGAGAGACAACATGTAGACAACTCTGTCCAAACCAGCTGTAGGCAGGAGATATTACAGATAATCAAGAGAAGGCACTGGAATAAAGAGAGAATGGGAAAGGCTTCCTGACGAAAATGGGATTTTAGCTGGGACTTGAAGGGAGCCAGGAAAGCCAGTACACCGAGATGGAGAGGCTGAGCATTCCAGGTAGGGGGGACAGCCTGAGAAAAGACCTGGAGTCAGGAGATGGAGGGACTTAAACGCCAAACAGAGCATTTTATATTTGATCCTGGAGGTGATGGGGAATCACTGGAATTTACTAAGTGTGTGTATGGAGGGTGAGATGGTAGGACCTGTACTTTAGGAAAATCACTTTGGTGGCTGAATGGAGGATGGACTAGAATGGGGAGAGACTTGAGGCAGGCAAAGACCCCTCAGCAGCTGCTACAATAGTCTAGGCATGAGGTGATGAGACCTGTATCAGGGGGAGTGGCAGTGTCAGAGGAGAGAAGGGCTGTATTTGAGAGATGCTGTGAAGGTGAAATTGACAGGCCTTGGCAACAAATTGGATATGGGGGTGAGAGATAGTGAGGAGTCCAGGATAACTCCTAGGTTGTGAGCCTGGGGGACTGGGGGGATGGTGGTGACCTCAAAAGTAATAGGAACATTTGGAAGAGGGAATGGTTTGATAGATAAGGAAAGATAATGAGTTCTGTTTTGGACATGTTGAGTTTAAGATGTCTGAAAGGTGGTTGGAGATGGGAGACTGAAGGTCAGAGGAGACTTGAGAATCATCAGCAAAGAGATGATCATTGAATCCATGGGAGCGGATGAGATCACTGAGTAAAGTAGTATAGAGAGAGAAGAGAGGAGGTTCCAAGACAGAGCTGTAGGAGACACCTGCAGTTAGTGGCTGTGGCCTGGAGAAGGATCCAGCAAAGGTTCAAGATAAGGAATGGTCAGATAAGTAGGAGGAGAACCAGGAGAGAGTGGTGTCCTGCAAACCTGAAGAGGAAAGACAATCAAGGAGATGAGGGTGATGGACAGTATCAAAGGCAGCAGAGACGTCAAGGAGAATGATAGTTGAGAAAAGGCCATTGGATCTGGCAATTGAGATGTCATTAGTAACTTTGGAGAGAGTAGTTTTAGTGGAGGAGGAGCTCATGGGAATTCAGAGCTTAGGATGTTAGAGATATCAATGTGGATGTTGAAGTCTCCTAGAATGAGGACAGAAGTTTGGGAGAAGAGATTGTGAGCCAGGCACTGAATTCATTTAGGAAAGAAGGTGAGTGTCAGCAGACAATAGCTATTATGAGAGAATATTTGTAAAGCCCTTTGCACAGTACTCAGAAAACAATAGGTGTTTAATAAATGTTTGTTCCCTTCCTTCTTCATATGAAATCACAAGATCTTAGCTCTAGATCTGGAAAGGCCCTCAGAAGCCTTGGAATTCAAGACCCTTATTATACAAAGCAGGAAACTAAGGCTCAAGGAGTTGAAGTGACATGCCAAGGACACACTGGCAGAGGATTCGGGCTCAGGTCCTGTGCCTGCAGGTCAGGAGCTCTTTATACCCTACCTTGCTAAGATGGCCCCTTTTCCCAGTCATGCAGATTTTAAGCATCACAAAAGCCTGGTGTTCCTAAGAAAGTTGGGTTAGCTCATCGGCCAAGATTCATTCTGGTTGTCAGTCAAGTTGAAACCAGATCATTTTTGAAAAAAACTTCTGGTTCTTAAAACCCTTAAGGAACAAGTTCTTCATCTGGAATTTCAATGACTTTTCCAGGAAGATATATAAATAAAACTTTATTTTCTAATCAGTCTGTAAGAGATCCACATGTTATATCAACTTTAAACAAAGTCGACACATTAACTGTTACTACAAACCCCTAAATGAAAATGGAAAAATACAGAAAATTCCAAGTGGCTTGGAGCCCAATGCCTTCTGGCTTCTGTGCTAGGCAGTGCCAATGAATCAAAGGAAGCATCTGTTGTATTTGATGCTATTACAAGCATCTCTACCTGAGGGCACCCTGACATTCCTGCCAAAACAGAACCTTGGAAAGCTCAGAAGCTGATTCAGATATGTAGCTCCAGCCAAACTTACATCACAGCTCACTCTGTGTCAATATACACTGAGGGGGATGGGGGAAGAGGGGCTTAGCAATTGGATCTCGGCCCTTCTTATCCCCATTGGTTGTTCAGTTGTTTAGTCCTGTCCAACTCTTTGGGACCCTGTGGACCATAGCATGCCAATACTGTCCATGGGGTTTTCTTGGCAAAGACACTGGAGTGGTTTGCCATTTCCTGTTCTACTTCTTATCCCTATACCCAGTCTTTATTCCTGCTCTGCCACTAAAGTCACACACCCCTACTGTTTTGCCAATCCAAACTGTCCAACCACAATTCTCACTCAAAGTTCCTTTCCAGAACACTGATCTATGGCAGCCTCTAGGGCTGGCCTCTGCACATGGCTCACTGCCTCTTAGGAAGGATCCTATTTTTGGCTGTCCCTACTACCACCTAAAGCCAGCTTCTGTCTTGGGTGATCTATGGAGAAACATGGCTTTTGTACATTCCTAGGCTAGTAGAATCTGGGGAAAATTGGATGCCCTCAGTGGCAGAAAAACACTGTGGCAAGAAGGACCCCTCACCCCCCCCCCCCAGTAGAATAGCTGACGTTTCTTGGCAGATGCTTAGATCTGGGGTGGTAGACTATGGGGTAGACTTTAGCCAGAGTAGCCCAGTGAGATCTGCTGCTACTCCCCATCCCCTCCATTATATAGACATGATCCATTTCAGTCCCACAACAATCTCAGGACGTATTACATTATGTGTAATGCCCCCCTCCCCTTTTCTTTAACAGATGAAGAAACAATGAGGAATAGTGGCTTGCCCAAGGTCACATAGTTATTCAATGTCTATATCAGGATTAGAATTCAAGTCCCCAGAAGGGATCCGACCTGACCTGTGAGTGTAGTTGGGAAAGTAGTCCAGAGGGGGTTAGTCATTGTCGTTGTCATAGTTGTCATCATCATCATCATCATCATCATCAAGCAGATTTTGCCTTTGATGGATATTTTCCCAACTCACCACAATATAGTCCTCAACTTCTGCTCTTATATATGGTCCCAGGAGTCCCAGGTGTTCGGTCAGCTCCCCACGATCCAGAGGCTTCATAAAGGAACCATCAGCAAACTCCTGGAAAACCACTTTCTTATATTTCCAGGCACTGCCATTCTGCACCCTAAAGAAACAAGGAAAGAAAGAAACCAGCCAGCTATCAGTGACCTTCTAACCAAGTTCAGCCCCCTGGTGTTGTTGCACTGTACCTGATCAGCAGGGGACCAGTCAACATTCAGGAAGAGGCCTCAGGGGAGCATTGCTACTAGAAGCAGTCATATCTGCTACTCAAGTAGTTGTTCTCCTGGATATTTTTCTATTCATTTATGAGGCAGATGGAAGATAGAGGATAAATACAAGATGGCAGGACTTCTAAGGCTAAGCCTTCCCTGTTTGTATGGCTTGGTCCCAAAGTGCTCAAGTCAAAGAGTGATTGAGTAGGTCCAAAGAATGTGGAGGTACATCAGCAAAGCCTGAGGATCAGACAATGGGGCCATTACAGTGGGTTGTTCAGTGCTCCTAGATTGTGAGCCTGGGGGACTGGGGGGATGGTGGTGACCTCAAAAGTAATAGGAACATTTGGAAGAGGGAATGGTTTGATAAATGAGGAAAGATAATGAGTTCTGTTTTGGACATGTTGAGTTTAAGATGTCTGAAAGGTGGTTGGAGATGGGAGACTGAAGGTCAGAGGAGACTTGAGAATCATCAGCAAAGAGATGATCATTGAATCCATGGGAGCTGATGAAATCACTGAGTAAAGTAGTATAGAGAGAGAAGAGAGGAGGTTCTAAGACAGAGCTGTAGGAGACACCTGCAGTTAGTGGCTGTGGCCTGGAGAAGGATCCAGATGGGCCACAGGAGGGCAATGGCCTTGGGGCAGCTTCCCCATTTGATACAAAGTGTGGGAAATCAACTTTGATATTCATCTTCCTAGAAGCTTCTCTTTTATTACAGAAGGTCAGCTTACAGCCTCCAAACCTGCTTTTAGCCCTTGGATGGCACAGTCCCAAGACTCTTTGGGAAGACTGCCCTTAGACCCACATCCACTTGTCACACTGTCAAAAGGAACAACCACAACTGAGAAGTTTCAGGGTTCTCCCTCACAGCTACTTAGGAATTAATTTTTCCATCTTATTTTGACTGTTGGATACCACACAGGTAGCCTTAGCTGATCAAAATGCACCAGCAACCAACCAATAGTCCATTATTTATTAAGTGACTACTATGTGACAAGCTCTATGCTAGGTGCTAAGAATACAAATACAAAGAATGAAACAATCCCTGCCCTCAAGGAGTTGACAGTCTACCAGGAGAGACGTGTACCACAGAGAAGCATGTTCTGAACGAATATATAAAAAATAAATATAATGGAGTTATATACAAGGTATGTAGGGAAGGGGGTGGGGGGAGGGGAGGGCAATAGCAGTTGGGAAGGAGCAGCAGGAATGAGGGAAGGCCCCAAGCAGAAGGTGGTGCTTCAGCTGTGTCTTTAAGGAGGTAAGGGACTCCATGAAGCAAAGGTGAAAAAGAAGGGCATTCCCAGTGTGAGGCCAGAGGGCGCAAAGAGATAAAAGACTATGCAAAGAGATAAGATGAGAGATGAATTGTTGTGGACGAGGAATCTAGAGAAGGCCAGTTTGGCTGGATCATAGGGTGTAGACAGTAATTTATATTGAGGCTAGAAAGGTTGGCTCCAGATTGTAAAGGTCATAAAAGCCAAATAGTCGTTTCTATTTTATCCTGGAGGCAATAGAAAACCATTGTTTATCAAATAGGGGAGTGGCATAGTCAAATCTGCATTTTAAGAAAATCACTTTGTCATCTGTGTGGAGGAATACTAGAGTGGGGAAAGACTTCAAGCCAAGAGACCTATTGGAGGCTATTGCATTCCTAGTGGGAGGAGATAAAGGCCTGAAGCAAAGGGGTGACTCTGTAAGTAGAGAAAAGGGGACATATTACCAGGATGTTATAGAGATAAAAATGCAGGATTTGTCAATGGATTGAATGAGGAAGAGTGAGAAGTTGAAGATAATGCCAAGGGTACAAACCTGAGAGACTAGAAGAACCACTTTCAACAGGAACTGGTAAATTTGAGAGGTGAGGATTTTGGGGTGAAAGAGAATGGGCCCTGAATATCAATGTGTACATCCCTGGAAAGAATATTGCCAAGTTAAGTGAACTTATGCACAGGATTCAAAACTTCTCCATTTGCTATAACTAATGGTTCCACGTAAGGATGGTGTGGTGCTGGCTGATGGAGAACCTGTTTTCTTGGTGTTGTTAGGCCAAAATTAGCACAAGCGGCAGAGAATTGACCCATACTTTGTTTCACCTCACCTTCCGGCATTGTCTTAGGAAGATTCTGAAGATCACCTGGCAAGATAAGGTACTGGAGGTACTGGACACTGAGGTCCTTTCTCCAGCATTCAAACCCTACTACAGAGAGCATAACTCCAGTGGGTTGGCCACATTATTCGAATGCCAAATATTCTAACTCCCCCAAATCACCTGACATCCTGTCCCCATTACTTAATCTCCCAAGTAAGGAAAGTGTCTGAGTAGCCTCCCATGACAGTTTCCTTTTGCTGTACATAGCATTGCCCTGGTGTTGCTGTTGTTCAGTTGTTCAGTCATGTCCCATGCTTTGTGACCCTGTGGACCATAGCATGCCAGTGCTGTCCATGGGCTTTTCTTGGCAAAGATACTGAAGTGGTTGGACATTTCCTTCTCCAGTGGATTAAGGCAAACAGAGCTAAAGTGGTTTGCCCAGGGTCACACAGCTAGTAAGTATCTCAGGCCGGATTTGAACTCAGGTCTTCCTGACTCCAGGCCCAGTGCTCTATCCACCTAGCTGCCTCCTAATATTGCCCTAAGGTTGTAAAAAAAACCAAACAAAAAAACAAAAACAACAAACCCTATCCATATGTGTGTGTATCTCCCTTTGTTTGGGGTATTGTTATCCACCTGGCAACTGACCTTCACCTATTGCCAATTAAACTTTTTGCTCTTCTAACATAGCTCCTGATTTATTAACCTCCAGTCAAAGGCAGAAGAAATTATTCTCTGGGGGATCTTAGGACATCTGGGTTGAAGAGTTGCCCAAAAATTTGGTACAGGAGGAGATTCTTAGATGTCAGGATGGCTGAGACACCTACTGGGTCAGATTTCTTACCTGCATCAGCCTCCTGGGACTCAAACATCTCTGACGTTCCATTGGGCAATGAGTCATTTTCCTCAAATTCTTTATATTGTGTGAGGCTGGCTAGAATATAACTTGAGGAGACCTCTTAAAAATTAGGCTGGTATTTAAGACAGCAGCTCCCGGCTAGTTTTTGGTAAAGACTGGGCCCTTTGGTGTATTTCTTATACAGCAGCCTTGCTGTCAGAGGCGTTGGCAGGAATTTCATCTCTCTGGCTCACTTTCGCAGAACTCTTGCGCTTATTGTGGTCTTAATTAGGAACCAGGTTAGTTGTCCAGAACTAGGGCTATTTGACTTGGGCAAGTGCAACTTATTTGCAGACAAGTAGCTTGCTGTAACTTGGGAGAAACCTCATGCTCCAATGAGAGAGCCTCCTTTCTTCTCTTTGTGGCCATCTGGGCTAGGACTATGAGAAATCTGAACCTTGTGTCCTGCTATTTTGGTATTTCCCAGGCTACTAAACAAGAGATCTATCTAGTTCTGAGATGCCTGTCTGATTTCTGAGCTGAAAGATAGACTCTGCTACGTGAAAGGATAAAAACTTCCCCAGAGGCTCTAAGGAGCCCGATTCAGCCAGAGGATAGACTGAATCATGCTTAACCAACAAAATAAGCCGATATTCTGGCTCCCCTTTGGCCAATGTGGTCAAAATTTTCTCTCACCCTGGGAAACTTCCAGATCTGTCTCTAAAGCTTAGGGTTAAGTGGCCCTCTGCCACATCTTAATTGGATATACTCGTAACAATCTTAGTCAGCAATGGCCAAACAACAGGAGTTTTGATTCTGACAAATTAATCTATTTTTGAGGGTTTATGGAAGTTGCCCATCCTAGGCAGATGGACTATTGGTATCTTTGGGAAGAAGAAATCAAAAAGAGAAAGCAGAAGTGTATTACGGTTCAGTTAAAAGATTCTCAGGAGAAAGAAAAAACTAAGAGCAGGCAGGAAATGACTGCAACACTGAAGGATCCTGACAACCTCCCCTGTCCCCAACCTCTACCTACAGCCCAGAAAGTCTCCCTCTCCCTGCCCTGGATTCTTATGCCCTACAGATCTTCCTTCAGATTGAGCAGTGTTGTGTTTGTGTTTGCTTTATGCAACATAGCACAGAGGTGTCGAACATGCTGTGCCCTGCCCCGCACAATGAGGCCTGAACCATGTTAAAATGTCATTGGGAAATATTTAACAAAATAAATAAAAATACAATACAACAGTGATAACATTACATTTGAAAAACAAGTCAATATGTTGCCATCAAAGATCCTTATGTGCACATTAGAGGCTCCTGTTTCTTTGACACCATCAATATAGGGTGTATGCAGCATTGTCTGTGGTCTGACTTTTTCCTGTGGCCTGATCAGCCAAAGGAAAAAGGGTGAAAAAGAGTAAGGACTTAGCTCAAAGCTTCAAAGCTTTCAAAGCACATGGTCTCATCTCCATGTTCCTAATTTTGGCCAAGTTGGGAGGGGAGAGGGAGGGGTGAGGCAAAAGAGATCCTTTTCCCATTCGCAGAAACTTATGACATTGCAAACTAATTCAAGACCAAATCTGTGACTGAAGTGTAGTCTGTTTAATATTTATTTTCACATTATTATGGGACTGCGACTTGAATGTTTTCAAATGTGTTTGAATTGTTGAAATAGTTCAGTGAGTTTTGGGGGTGTAGCTACTTAGGATTGTTCAAAGTAGTTGTGAAATTTACATATAAACAGAACCTAGACCCCCTCTATCACCTTCCCTGGAGAGCGGAAAAAAGGAAAAAAAAAAGTTGCTATTTTGTGAGGGAAGGAGATGATCTCAGCAACTAGTTCCATCCTAAATGGAATTGAAGCCAGTTTAAAGATTTTGTTTCTAGCGATTCCAAAAGCAAAAGGGGGAAAAGCAAGTAGTTTTGTAGTTGGTACTTAAAAACTGCCTAGTACAGGTCTTCCTTTTCCTTTCCAGATTGAAAAGAAAGAAAGAGACTTGTGAAAATCACAATAGTAAATAATTTGGAAAGATTAGAGATATCATTTTGAGAGTGGACAATTGTGGTTTTTTTGAATGATTTGGAAGACTTTATTTGTGCAGGTAAATTAGAAGCAAAGTCACCTACAAGGAACTGAAATAGACAATGCATTTTCAAACTTATATTGGAAATTGGAAGTGGTTTACTTGACAAAATGAGAAAGTAACTGTAAACCTTGAAGTTTCAGTTCCGCTCAGGGAAAAGTCAAGTTCTTCAGTTGTATAACATACCTTTGTGCTAATTTGCACAGTTGAGGAAACCAAAGCAGACAGAGGTGAGGTAATTTGCCCAAGGTCAAACAATTAGTAAAAATCTAAGGGTGGATTTGAACTCAGGTCTTCCTAATTTCTTTTCTTTTTCAGGTGGGTGGGGGGGTGGGAGAGGCATGGCTAATGTATGAATTTTTTTGACTTGACTATGTATATTTGTAATTTTGTTTTTCTTGCCTTCTCATTGGAAGGGGAGGGGAGGTAGAAGGGCGAGAATCTGAAACTGAAAATAAAACTGAATTTAAAGACATATCTGTAGCAGTCATTAAAGTATGCTCTTTAAGAGCAAGAACTTTTGCTCATTTCTTTCAGGGATGCACTGGAGCCAGCTCAAACTGGCTCAAGAGCCGATTGTTAAATTTTCAGTGTGAGCATTTATACCTCAAAAATCAGCAAATGCAATAAATCAGGGCCTGATTTATTGTTGATTGTCTAGACTTAAGAAAGTGATAGAGAAAATGTTAATAAGGCAGATTAAATTTAAAAGTGTGTTCTGTTTGTGTGTATGTGCGTGTGTGTATACACACACACACATTTCCCCCCCCGGAGAGCCTGTTGTTAAACATTTACTAGCACACTTTAAAATAATATCCATTCTTCAAAACCATAGAACTAAATAACAAAAACGGCATAGAAACACATGTGGATAGCCTCAAATCCTGCACTCCACTGATAGAGAACCAGCTAAGGATGGGGCTACCGGCTCAGTCTGGTTTTCTCTGGTCAAGGGCAGACATTCTGAATATGCCTCGTTGTAACAGAGGCCCATGTGATTTCTTGTCCTAAGTAATTCCCATACCACTGTCCCTTCCAGTAGGGAGAAATAGCCAAATGACTACTGCAAAGCTACAGGAGATCTGGAGAGCGCATGGGTGTGGTGCTGGTTAAAGCAATTCTTTGTTCACTGTCTTCCTTTGAGGATGCAACCATCTAGAAGCCTTCTCCTGGGCTGTTTCACATTTCCTGGGAATCAGCACATATCCTGGCTGTCTTATTTGGGGAACATAGCCAGTCCACCTTCTTTCCTGGTCATAAATGTGAAGCCTTCCACCATCCTGATCACTCTCCTCTGGCTGCTGGCCAGTCTTTCCTAAACTATCACAGCCATGACTTAACAGAACAGTTTGGGAGTGGCCTGACAAGTCAGAGGACAAGTGGGACCATCATTTCCTTGTTTCGGACACCAGTCTTGATACTCACATGGATCTGTAATGTCACTCATGTGGCCACTCTCTCCAGAGTCCAGATAGCCAGCCATTTCATTCTCTCTCACCCTGGGCAATTCTCGGTGTTGTTGTCCACAGAGGTTCTCCATTGCACTCCCTCTGGGTCCTTGACTGTACCATGGGTGCTGGCATAGTTCTCAGGTTGTCCAGCTGTTCCTCTTCACTACCTCCTTTTCTGGTCGTACATTTTAACTCAATTCAATTCAATGACATTTCTCAAATGTCTTTCCATGCAAGGACCTGGATTAGGTGTTAGACATGACAGCTTTCATGCCATTTTTTCAAATGCCTTGCTTGAAACCAGGTATGCCACATCTCCAGCATTCACATGATTGCCCAGGGTAGTAACCCAGTCACAAAAGGAAAGGGAGGGGTAGCTAGACAGTGTAATGAATCAGCCTGGAGTCAGGAGGACCTGAGTTCAAATCCAGCCACAGACACTTACTAGCAAGTCACTTAACCTCTATTGTCTCAAAAAAAAAAAACCAAAAAAAACCCAAAAAAGGAAATGGACTAAATCTGACATGACCAGTTCTGGTCATGCTTGTCTTAGTGACCATGCCTTCCTTTTTCAAATGTTCATAATCTCTCTTACTAATACATTCTAGGATTTTGCCTGGAATTGAAGTCAAGGCCATAGGCCTATGGCTTTTTTGGACATTTGCCCAGCTCCAGCTCTTTGACACTTCTCCCTTACGCTGTACTCTGTCTCTGAAATTCCTCTTCCTCCCTATTCTTAGTTTTGTCTTTTGGGGCCCTGCAGAACAAGGTTAATCTCTTGCTCACATGACAGATCAGACAGTTGAAGGCAGCTACCATGTCCCCCTGAATCATTTTTTTTTCAGGGTAAATAATCCTAATTCTTTCAACCAATCCTCATACGGCACAGACACAAAGATCGTCGCCATCTTGGTTGCTTCTTCTGGACATTCTCATGTCCTCTCTAAAATGTGGTGCCCAGAACTGAACACAATCATCCAGATGTGGGCTGACAGGACAGAGGATGCCTGTCTAGAATTGGACACCACGCCTTTCTTAATGCAACCTAAAATCACATTAGTTTTCTTGATGCCTATTACTACTGTTGGCTTGGCTACCTACAGCCCCTATGCCATTCTCATACAAAGTACTATTAGTTCAGATCTCCACCTTCCCATAGTTGAGAGGTAGAATGAAATGAATCTATTTGCAGCCCTCTGCCTAATCACTCACTTCTACCCTCACTTCTTTTTTTTAATTGTTATTACTATCTTTTGTTTTTATATTGTCTAAATTTTCCCCTCCTTATTCCTCCCCAATTCCAGAGAGCCATCCCTTATAACACATTTTTTAAAAACAAAAAGAAAGAAAAGAAAAAAAGAGGATAAAGAAAAAATCAGCAAAATTGATCAATACATTGAAAAAAAATCTGACATTTGCAATATGCAGTATTCCACACCTGTGAACCCCCACCTCTCTCAACATCAACAGAGGAGTGGAAACAGATGCCTTCTCATGTCTCTTCTTTTGGGTCTGGCTTGTTCTTGGCATTTCCCAGCATTCACTGTTGATTGTTCTGTGGTGGTTCCTTCCATTTCCATTGTTGTCGTCATTGTCCATATTGTTTTCCATGCTCTGCTTCCTTCACCTGGCATCATGCTTCTCTGTGTTCATCATATTTGTCATTTCTCACAGCCCAGTAATCTTCCAGTACCATTCTAGCACCATGGTTTGTTCAGCCCTTTCTCAGTCAATGGACAACTACTTTGTTTCCAGGGCTTTGCCACCACAGTTGGTGAATAAAGAACCTTCTTTTTACTCCTTGGTTTCTGATAGTGGAATCTCTGGGTCAAAGGGTATAGACATTTTAGTCACTTTTGCATAATTGCAAATTGCTTTGCAGAATGGTTGTACTGATTCACAGCATTAGTGTGCCTATTAACCCACAACCCCTCCAACATTAACTTATTGCCATCTTTTGTCCTCTTTGCCAATTTGCTGAGTATAAGGTAAAATGTCAGGGTTGTTTTGATTTGCATTTCTCTTATTAGTGATTGGGGGCATTGTTTCATATGGTTGTTAATAGTTTTCAATTCTTCTTTTGAGAATTGTTTGTTCATTTCCTTTGACCACTTATCTATTTGAGAATGGCTTTTGGTTATATATGTGTGTGTGTATGTGCGTGTGTGTGTGTGTGTGTGTGAATGTTGTAGAGATATACATAATATATATGTTATAGATATTTATAGATATATATTATGTATATATGTGTGTATATATTAATTGTATATCTTGGATACAAAACTCTTTTTGGAGAAATTTGATACAAAGATTTTTTTTTTCCATTTGGCCACTTCCCTTCTTCTTGTGTTAATTTTGTTTGTATAGGAGCTTTTAAGTTTTATGCAGTCAAACCCACCCTCACTTGTTTCAACTCCCTGTCTTACAGCTCTGCACTTATCTCCCCTGGTGAGCATCAAAGTACTCAAACTCTTACTTTTGAATCGGAAGAGTCCTCAACCAATGGTCAGCCTGGCCAAAAGACCCTCTAGCAGAACAAAGGGAAAACCAAATGGGTTTTATAACATTTGGGGAACCTTACCGGCCTCCTAGGAAATGGGGAGATTTGTTCAGCCCATAGTCCCAGATTTTTTCCTGGGCAGCAATGAAGTAGTGGCGAGTTCGTTTCTGGAAACTGCGAGGCCCCTGGCTCTCACTATCTTCATAGATATCAAAATCTTCCATTTGGATGTCCAGGCTGCTGTCATCATAGCTGTCTTTTTCTGTCTCTAACTGGACAGAAGTCAGGACTGTTTCCTCTGGAAGGAAATTCAATGCAAATGGTTGTTGAGGGCTCTCAGAAGAATTGAGGCCCAAGGTGGGAGGGGGCTCTGCTTGTTCCTGACTTTTTCCTTCTGTTACTTTCTCCTCTCTCTTGAGTAGGCTTAGGTGGGGAATAGTATCTGTTTTGGGAAAAGTTTGATCTTCTGGCTGATGATCTTGGGATTTCCATTCTTCTCCTGTGAACATCTGGTTGGCAATACGGCTAGCCCAGAAAAAAGGATATATTTCCTTAGGGAAAGGCCTTGCTAAAGCTTTGACTTCCCATTTTATTAAGGCCACTTCCTCTGACCTCATCCCTTTACTAGATTCAGTAGCTGCCTGAGATCTAAGAGAAATGGCCTCTGCTAAGTGATACGGGTGGTCAGTGATACTTGAACGAGGAGCCACCTGTGTCTCTGACCTGGTGTCTAAGTCAGGCAGGCCTTCTTGATGTGCAGGCTTACCAGGATGTCTTTGAAGAGAGGTCATCTCTCCCTGGGCACTACCCACCTCTTGGCCTTCTGAAAGCTCTAAGTTGAGGGTGTTTAATGCAACATCACTTTCTTTGATTGTGTACATAGCCCAACTGCCTTCTTGAGTTGCATGGCTTCTTTCTTTGAGGTTGTTAATATGGTCTGTTGACTGGAGTTGAGAAGAGTCAGTGTAAGAAGAGGACAAAACCAACTGGGTAGGGCTTGGGGATGGAAACAACTGAGCCTTTTGAGAAGATAATGTGGAATCATCTGGCCTAGAGGCCCCTTGGCTACTCTCAGGCCAGTAGGTCAAGAGAGGATGGGAAGTGGCAGCTTTCTGTACCTCTCTAGAGTCTGGCTTGAGCATGTTACCTTGGAGTATAAATTGTCTTATTTTTGACCATTGGATTACTGTGGCATTGTCTCCAAACTCATTCCCTCTTTCCAGCTTTTCCAGCAGTAGGCCCATCTGGGAAGGGCTCCTCTGACTTGGACTTGGGTCTCTATCCACTCTTTGCTCACTGTGATTGTCTAAAGTATAACTCTCTGAGTTTATTTCCTTCACATTCTTTTGAAGTATTGTTCCTTCCCTGGCATATAAATGAGTCTTCTGAAGCCTTGCATCACTTGTTGGACTACTTAATGTATTGGTCAATAGTTGCGAGTTTGGTAAGACTAGTTCGAGTGTATTTTCACTTCCTCCTTCCAACGTATCGTTCTCCTTGATGCTTGACAAGACAAGGGCTTTAAGAAGCTTCTTTCTGTCGGCCACCAAGTAGGGTGGAGGTGAGGCTGTATTCTCTGAGTCAGGTGTTTCCGTCCTTTCCATCACTTCTTGAAACTGTGGTCTTTGTCTTGGGGTATAAGTCTCCTGTATAGTGACTATCTGAGGAGGCCACACATTCTTGCTGTTGTCCTTAAGTCTCATTCCTCTGAGGTCAGGATCATTTGTAAATGTCTTTTCTGCTGGTGCCACTGTACTCTTTTCTGAGAAAGGATTCTTCCTATCCCAAAGCTCAAGTACTAAGCCTGTTGTCATGGGATGCTCCAAGGCAATCTCTGTCTCAGGGACCTGGGGGTCCTTTCTCTCCTTTGCCCTTTTACCATTCACTAAATCTGGTGGTGACACTTTCCTAAAGAAAGCTGAGTCTTCCTGGTGAGGTGATGCAGTCTTCATACTGTCTACAGCCAGTGGGACAGAGCGTATTTTTCTTGGGGGGTCCATGAGCTCTTTTCTCAGGGCCATCTCATCGGTTGGCAGATGATGGGGCATGGGAACAGTTACATTCCTACCTGGGAGAGTGCTGCTGTTACCCTGAGAAGGTGTTTCATGAGGCTCTGTATCTTTTACCAACACAATATCTTTCCTGACCGACAACCGGTTTTCATACAGGACCACTGGCCCATCCACAGGGAACCTGGGAGGGCTTACAGAGCCACCAGCTGCCATATTTGATCTGACCAAAGAAATCCCTTTGAAGGCCTTTCCTTCATGAGCTGCTCTGGCTTCTTGAGCACTCATTTCTTGGAATTCTCCATCCCTCAGCAGGGGAGACATTTTGCTTTCTAGGGAAACTACTTTTTCATCCTTTGAAGCCGCTTCTAAAGCCTTGGAGTCAGGAGGGTTAGGGTCCCTCAGCTGTATGGGTGTAGCTTTCTCAGTGAGGGGAGGGCCCTTTGGGCCTCCAAGGGTTTCTGGATGTCTTGACAAGGACCCTGTCTCTTTCCATTGAACAAAAGGGATCTGTGAAGTAGTCTCTCTTAGGGCTGCTGCCATCAGGTTAGAGGTTAAAAGGACTGCTGAAAGAGTTATGTTCTCGGAGGACCTGGGAAACTCAGAATCCTCCTTCCTCATGGCTACTCTGATCGGGGCTTGCAAACGCCCCCATGTGGGCTTACTGCTTTTGGGGTGGAGGCCAGGCCGTATAAGTGGAATTGGTGACCCAATCCCATAGTGCCGGAATGTCTCATTTAAACTAAGGGATTCAGTTGGCTTCCTGAGCTTTTGTACCCTGCCTGGGCTCTGGTTACTTTGCTCTCTTGGCCCAGGGAGATAGTTCATAGGAAGAGGCTCATAGGTTGTATTTTCCAGAGCCAGTTGGAATAGATTACCTAGGTCAGCCAGGCAGTGCTTAGAAAGCACTGGTGTATCACCAGGCATCAAGTTTTGTGACGTGGGCCCCTGGCTCTCCTTCTGGTGGTGGGAGTAGACTTTCACAGGGTCAGATTTGGATGCCATGGTGCTTGGGGAGGGCAGCTTGTTGGGGCATGGGTACCGATGCTGAATGCTCCTTAAGCTTCTGGGCTCCAGGAATCTATCTTTCCTCAACAAGTCAGCTGGTAGCTCATCATAGTACTCCTGAGAATCCTCAGTGTTCCTGGCGCAAGTTGCAACCTTCAACAAGGCCGTCATGCCTCTGTTCCTAAATTCAGGGTTGTGGCAGCCTAGCATCCAGGTACCTAGAGACAAGGGAAGAAGAGCAACAGCTTATTAGGAAGCGAAGGCTAGCCTAGCCCAGCCCAGCCCAGTCTGGCCCAGGATGCTGCTCTGATATGCCTGTGCTAGCATTTCCTCTTTTCTGAGGCCACGTGATGGTATCTTTTCCCAGCATTCTCAGGTAAAAGCTTGGAATCAGGAGAGGTAGAGTTGGCATGGTGCCAACTGCTTTAAAGTTGGCAAAGTACTTTACAGAGACTATCTCACTTGAATTTTACAGCACCTTGGACATAAACATTCCAGGAAGAATTAGCCCCATTTCACAGGTGAAGAAACTGAGGCCCTGAGAGGTGACCTGACTTTCCAAGGTCACACAGCTATGAAGTGTCTGAGGAGGGATGGCTCTTCCAGACCCTGAGTCCAGCATCTACACCCACACTCTACTATGTGTCCTCACTCTGTGACTGGTATTATTTCTCCCCTTTCCCTTCTGCTTTTTTCCCACTTTCTCCCTTTTCCCTTCTTCCTTCCCTTTCCTCTCTTCTCTTGTCTTGTTAAACTGGCCATAATGTGGAATTCCAATGTATTTTAAGAATATTTGTTGTATTTAAAGGATTTCAAAGTATCTGTATGGATTAGGTCAGAGATGTCAAACAGCCCAGGGGCCACATGCCACTTCTGACACTCCCCAATGCAGCAGAATCAAATTAAAATAGAGTCAGGAAATATTTAACAGAACATAACATAATGCTTTAGAATGTCATTTTATACATAATATATAATATATAACATATAATATATATTAGCTAATATTAAATAATAAAATAGAGATAATACTACATTTTCAAACTAAGTCACCCTGCAGCCCTGCTACAGGGAATCTTCTCTATGGTTTCATGTCCCCTGTTTCTATTTGAGTTTGACATTGCTGGATTAGTGGATAGAGGGTTGGCTTTGGAACCAGAACAACTAGGGTTTAAGTCCTTCCTCTGATACATACAGGCAGCACGACCTTGGGCAAGTTTCTTCCCCTTTCATCACTCTAGACAGCTCTCCAGAGCTAGAAACTGCCGAAGAGGTGTTGACCTATATTGGTAAGGAGAGTTTTCTCTCCTGGGTTTTCTCTAACCCAGTTTCTATCTTTGTTAGACTGATTGAACACAGGTTTGGTTCTTGTTTGTCATTTTTAGATCATATGAGCTGAAACTTTTTTATTTCTATACCTCAAAAGTAAAAATGAAAGCCCTCAAGACAACCAAGTTTTGTTTTTTAGTTACATGTAGCCCTCGATGGCCCCTTTTCCTTGGCCCTTCATAGAATGTATTTCCCTGGGGCTCGGTAAGGACTGTCCTCCTCACCACCCCCCACCCCCAACCAACTCAAGGTCCTAGATCAGAACCCCAAAGAGATGTTCTCATAGCCCCTTCTCCTCCTTTTTCTCCTTTAATCTTTATACCAACCCTGTGAAGTCATTGGCTCAGGGATGGCTATGCACATTTCCCAGATGGGTGGGTGGGGGTGGGGGAGTGACTCACACCAGATCGTACAGCTCCTCAGTAGTCAAGTGAATCCTTTGCCACCTTGTCTGTACCACCTTGTCTTCCCAGGGATTAGAGAGGAGAAATAGAAATCCCAAATGCAAACCTAACTAGGCTTTCACTCAAGCCTGGAGTGGTTTGTATGGAACTCCAGACTGCTGGAGGGAGTGCTGAGCATTGAGTGCATGGTTGGTGCCAGAGGTTCTTTGAGGAGAAACAGATATGGCTTCCAAATAAGAAACAAGTGGAGAGAGAAGCAGTAGGCATGTAGGGGAAGCTGGCTCCTCAACATGACCCTGATTTCCAGCTTGCCTTCCTAGAGATTGCTAGAATGAACTACCTTTATTGAGATCAAGGCCTCTCTTGGTTTGAGCTGAGATAAAATAAGAGAGCTGGACCTTTGGTGGCAGCAGAGGGGCACCAGCCCCCTGGAGCCTTGCTGGGAAAACACAGGGAACTAAGATGACTGGCTGACTGAGACCTGGGGGCATGTTCCTCATCTGAGGAGGTCTAGAAAAGGGAGCTAGGAATACAGCTGGTTCCTTCTTGTTCCTCGGGCTTCCCTCTTTGCCTTTTTCTTAGTCTTTCTTCCAGGGACAGCAAGCAGGGTGGGGGAAGGGATTTCTGTGACTGGGTCACAGATGGTACACCTCCAGTCTGGCCTGGAGCTCACCCTCAAGGCCTGCCAGCTCAGCAGAACACACCAGTGCTTGGCCCTTCATTTAGAGAGACTTGAAGAGCCTAGGCTTAGCTGCCCACAAAGATGAGATCTCTACGGGGAACTGTCATCTATCTTAGTAGGTCCCAAAGTAACAAAATCAAGTGATAGCTCCACTCCACTGACTCACTGGCATTGTTTGAAAAAGCTGAAATAGCTGAAAAGGTTACAGTTTAGTGTGAGTGTTGACAAGCCCCAGGGCATGAGACCTGGACTGACCTGGGGCCTGCCACTTGTCTTCATCTTTTTAGCCCCATCTGGACAGTGGAGGTGCTCTCTCTCTCTCTCTCTCTCTCATACACACACACACACATACACACACACACTCTCACACATATCCTTCTATCACTCCTACTGCTGCCCTTTGAGGCCAAGTAGGACAAGCTTAGTGCCTTTGGTCTCTATGCACAAACTAAGGCTACTCTAGTTTCCACATACTTCATCTTTCTAAGACTCAGTCTTCACATTTGCAAAAAGAGAGTTTTGGCCTAATTGATCTCTCCTGAGCTTTGTTTTTTCCTCCCAGATGTGGAAACTCAATGCTTGATTTGGGTGTGGTCATTAAGCACTACTTCCTATTTCTCCAAATCCATTGATTTGGGTTTTAGTCTTGGCCCGAAGGTTTGCTACAATGTAGACACACCCAGGGATACAGTGGTGTGGCCAGTGGTCACTATTCTGAGTAACTGACCGGGGTTATCCATGGTCATGTAGACAGTATCTCCTGAAAATGGGAAGAGGGTAAGCGTGTCCTCAAAGACCATATTGTGCTTGAAGGTGTAGCCAGAGAAGAAGACAGACAGGAAATCGGTCTGGGCTCCAACACTGAGTATGTGCCAGTAAGCCACCTCGTGCAAGCAGGCAGCCAGGTGTAAGCTGTTGAACACATAGCCATTGATACCTGAAAAGGCAATGGAGACCAAAAGATTTTCTCAGGGTTACAGTTGGTAAGGTTACTGTTAGAGACAAGTATGTGGCAAGCAATAAATCAACAAACATTAAGTGAATCAGGACTCTCAGATTACTCCTAGACAAATATAATTTTGCTATCACAGAAAGACATGTTATGAATCAGCCTCACACACAACGTGAGGAATCAAGCAGGCCCAGGGACCAAAAAGGAAGAGGCGGCTCTAGATCTCAGGAATAGAAATCAGTCAGGAGAAAGCCCTAGAGCCAAGGTAGACATCCCTTGGACTGATTCCCAGAGTTGAGACCCCACCCCCTCAACCCCCCAGCAGCTGACCAGAGTTCAACAAGAATACTAATGGCCAACATTTTGGTAGCATTTGAAGATTTCTACAGAGTTTTATGTACAACAATAACCAATCAATAAATAAGTAGTAAACATCTAGTATGTGAGAGGCACTGTGCTGGGTAGAGGGAGTTTAGAGACAAAAAGGATGTAGTTCCTGCTCTTTAGGAGCTGACATTCTATTAAGTGAGACAACGTGGACCTCTGGAAAGGTATACAGGACATCTACAAAATTAATAAATACAAGGCATTTTTTATGGGTAGCCCTGGCTGCTTGGGGGAGGGGAAGATGTGGAAGGCAGCACCTGAGCTGAGCTTGGAAGGAAACTCAAGTGTCTACGTGGCCAAGGTGAAGAAAGAATACATTTCAGGGATGCAAAGCATGAAAATGGGAGATAGAGAAAAAGAAACTGGCTCATAGAGTGCCTAAAGGGGAATGATATATAATAAACCAGAACTAGATTGTAAAGGGCTTTAAATACTCACCAGAAGAATTCTTTTAATCTGAAAGGCAACCACCAGGAGCCACTAGAACTTTTTGAGCAGGGGAGTGACATGGTGTGCAACAGAAAAACAACTTTGTGTGTAAAATTGTAATTGTGTGTATGAATTGTAAAAGAGAGAGACTTGAGGCAAGGAAACCAATTAGAAGGCAGTTGCCTCCAGATGAGGAGAGATGAGGGCACTGACTGTATCTGTGGTATGTGGGAGAGGGGAAAGTTGAGGAAAACGTTGAGGCTGAGAACCTGGTTGACTGGAAGGATGGTTGTTGTTTTTCGGTTGTGTCTGACTCTTCATGATCCCATGGACCACAGCATGCCAGGCCCTTCTATCTTCCACTATCTCTCAAAGTCTGTTCAAGTTCATGTTAGTTGTTTCCATGACACTATCTATCCAGCTCATCCTCTGCTGTCTCCTTTTCCTTTGGCCTTCAATCTTTCCCAACATCAGGGTTTTTTTCCAATGAGTCTTGTCTGCTCATTATGTGGCCAAAGTATTTAAGCTTCAGCTTCAGTATTTGACCTTCCAGTGAATAGCCTGAATTAATTTCTTTAAGTATTGATTGATTTTACCTCCTTTTTGTCCAATGGACTCTCAAAAGTCTTCTTCAGCACCACAATTTGAAAGGGTTGATTCTGTGGTTCTCAGCTTTCGTTTTTTATAGTTCAGCTCTCACAGTCACACATTGCTACTGGAAAAACCATATCTTTGACCATTGTAAAGGTAAAGGCCTTTGTCCACAAGGTGATGTCTTTACTTTTTACTATGCTATTCAGATTTGCCACAGCTTTCCTTCGTAGGAGCATCTTTTAATTTCATGGCTGTAGTCACCATCTGCAGTGATCTTTGAGTCCAAGAATCAACCTGCTTCCATGTCTTCTCCCTCTATTTGCCAGGAAATATGGGACCAGTTGCCAAGATCTTAATTTTTTTTACATTCAGCTTCAAGCCAGCTTTTACACTTTCCTCTTTCACCCTCATCAAGAGGCTTCTGCACTCTTCACTTTCTGCCATCAGAGTGGTATTGTCTGCCTGTCTGAGATTGTTGATATTTCTCCCAGAAACCTTAATTCCAACTTTTGACTCTTCCACCTTGGCATTTCACATGATGTACTCTGCATATAAGTTAAATAAATAAGGTGACACTATACAGCCTTGTCGTACTCTTTCTCCAATCTTAAACCAATCAGCTAGTTGTTCCATGTTCGGTTCTAACTGTTGCTTCTTGGCCCACATACAGGTTCCTCAGGAGACAAGTAAGATAATCTGGTATTCCCATCTCTTTGAGGACTTGCCACATTTTGTTGTAATCCACACAATCAAAGTGTAGTCAATGAAGCAGAAGTAGATGTTTTTCTGGAACTCTCCTGCTTTCTCCATAATCCAGTGAATGTTGGCAATTTGGTCTCTAGTTCCTCTGCCTCTTTGAAAACCAGCCTACTCTTCTGGTAATTCTTGGTTCACATATTGCTGATGCCTAGTTTGCAGAATCTTAAGCATGACTTTGCTGGCATGTGAAATGAGCACAGTTGTTTGGTAATTTGAACATTGCTTGGCATTGTCCTTCTTCAGGATTGGGATATAAATTGATCTTTTCCAATCCAGTGGCCACTGTTGTGTTTTCCAAATTTGCTGGCTTCTGGAGTGCAGCACTTTAACAGCATCATCTTTTAGGGTTTTAAATAGCTCAGCTGGAATTCCATCACCTTCACTAGTCTTATTGTTAACTATGCTTCCTAAGGCCCACTTAACTATATTCTCCAGGATGTCTGGCTCTAGATCAGTAACCACACCATCGTGGTTATTGGTGATGTTAAGATTTTCCTTATACAGTTCTTTTGCGTATTCTTGCCACCTCTTCTTAATCTCTTCTGCTTCTGTTAAATCTCTACCATTTTTGTTTTTTATCGTGCCCATTTTTGGTATCAGCACCATATTTGTATCATAAAAAGAATTTGGTAAGACTCCTTCTTCAACTATTTTTCCAAATAGTCTATAGAGTATTGGAATTAATTATTCTTTAAATGTTTGATAGAATTTGTATGTAAATCCATCTGGCCCTGGTGATGTTTCTTAGGGAGTTCATCAGTGGCTTGTTATCATGCCCATTTTTGCATGAAACTTTCCCTTAATATCCTTAATTTTCTTGAAGAGATCTCTAGTCTTTCCCATTCTATTGTTTCTTTCTATTCCTTTGCATTGTTCATTTCAGAAAACTTTCTTATCTCTCCTTGCTATTCTCTGAAATTCTGCATTCATTTGGATATATCTTTCCCTCTCCTTGACATTTTGTTTTCCTTCTTTCTTCAGCTATTTGAAAAGTCTCATCAGATAGCCCTTTTGCTTTCTTGCTCTTCTTTTTTCTTTGGAATGTTTTTTGTTGCTGCCTCCTATACAGTATTGTAAACATCTGTCCATTGTTCTTCAGGTACTCTATCTACTAAATCTAATCCCTTAAATCTATTCATCACTCTCACTTCATATTCATAAGTGATGTTTTAGGTCATACCTAATATGGTCTGATGGTTTTCCCTACTTTCTTCAGTTTAAGTCTGAATTTTGCAGTAAGAAACTCATGATCTGAGCCAGTCAGCTCTAGGTCTTATTTTAACTTACTGTATAGAACTTCTCTACTTTTGTGGTTGCAAAGTATATAATCAATTTGATTGTCATATTGACCATCTGGTGCTGTCCATGTGTAGAGTCGCCTTTTGTTGAAAAAGAATATTTGTCAGGAAAATGATAAATGTTGGAGAAGATGTGGGAAAATTGGAACACTAATGCATTGCTGGTGGAGTTGTGAAATGATCCAACCATTTTGGAGAGCAATTTGGAACTATGTCCAAAGGGCTATAAAAATGTGCATACCCTTTAACTCAGCAATAGCACTTCTAGGGCTGTATACCAAAGAGATCATAAAAATGGGAAAAGGACCCACATGTACAAAAATATTTATTTGTTTTTTTTTGTTTGTTTTGTTTGTTTGTTTTTTTTGTAAGGCAATTGAGGTTAAGTGACTTGCCCAAGGTCACACAGCTAGTACGTGTCAAATGTTTGGTCTGATGCCGGATTTGAACTCAGGTCCTCCATGACTTCAGGGCTAGTGCTCTATCCACTGCATCACCTAGCTGCCCCAAAAATATTTATAGCAGATCTTTTTGTGATGGCAAAGAATTGGAAATTGAGAGGATGCCCATCAACTGGGGAATGGCTGAACAAGTTGTAGTATATGAATGTAATGGAATACTATTGTGCTATAAGAAATGATGAGCAGGGGGGCAGTTAGGTGGCACAGTGGATCGAGCACTGGCCCTGAAGTCATGGAGGACCTGAGTTCAAATCCAGCCTCAGACACATAACACTTACTAGCTGTGTGACCCTGGGCAAGGAACTTAACCCCATTGCCTAGCCCCCAAAAAACCAGAAATGATGAGCAAGCAGACTTCAGAAAAACCTGGAAAGATTTGCATGGATTGATGCTGAGTGAAGTGAGCAGAACCAGGAGAACATTGTACACAGTAACAGCCATGTTGTGCGATGACTAACGTTGATAGACTTAGCCTTTCTCAGCAATGCAAGGATCTAAGACATCTCCAAAGGTCTCGTGATAGAAAATGCTATCCACATCCAAAGAAAGAACTATGGAGTTTGAATGCAAATTGAAACATACTATTTGATACTTTTTTTCTTCTCTTTTGTTTTGTTTTCTCTTTCTTGTGGTTTCTCCTATTGGTTCTAATTCTTCCTTACAACATCACTAATGTGAAAATATGTTTAATAGGAATATATATATATATATATAGCCTATATCAGATTGCATGCCATCTTGAGGAGGGAGATAGGAAAGGAGGGGGAGAAAAATTTAAAACTCAAAAGCTTATGGAAGTGATTGTTGATAAATCAAAATAAAAAATAAAAAAAGAAAAAGAGTGTTTGTTATGACCAGCGAGTTATCTTGACAAAATTCTATTAGTCTCTGCCTTGCTTCATTTTGTACTCCAAGGCCAAACTTGCCTGTTATTCCAATTATCTTTTGATTTCCTACTTTGGCATTCCAATCCCCTATGATGAATGTGACATCTTTGTGTATGTATGTGTTATTTCTAGAAGACATTGTAGAACTGACCAACTTTGGCTTCCTTGGCATCAATGGTTGGAGCACAGACTTGTATTACTGTGATGTTGAATGGTTTGCCTTAAATTCAAACAGATATCATTTGGTCATTTTTTTTTACTTTTTTTTTCTTTTTCTATTTTTTTTTAGGCAATTGGGGTTAAGTGTCTTGCCCAGGGTCACACAGCTAGTAAGTGTCAAGTGTTTGGTCTGAGGCCGGATTTGAACTCAAGTCCTCCTGACTTCAGGGCCGGTGCTCTATCCACTGTGCCACCTAGCTGCCCCCATTTGGTCATTTTTAAGATTATACCCCAGTACTGCTTTTCTCACCCTTTTATTGACTATGAGGGCTATTCCATTTCTTCTAAGGGATTCTTGCCCACAGTGGTATATGAAGTGATCACCTGAATTAAGTTTACCCATTCCCATCCATTCACATTCACTGACACCCAAGATGTTGATTTTTCATCTTTCCATCTCTTGTTTGACAACATCCAGCTTACGTTGGTTCATGGATCTTACATTCCAGGTTCCTATGTAATATTGATCTTTAAAGCATCAGACTTCCCTTTCATCAGCAGACGTCCACAGCTGAGCTTCCTTTTGGCTTTGGCCCAGCCACTTCATTTGTACTGGAGCTACTTGTGGTTGTCCTCTACTCTTCCCCAGTAGCATACTGGACACCTTCTGACCTGAGGGGATCATCTTCCAATGTCATCTCTTTCATCATTTTAATATAGTTCATGGGGTTTTCTTGGCAAAGATACTGGAGTGGTTTGCCATTTTCTTCTCCAGTGGATGGTAGGAAAATTCAGAAGAAGGGTGGATTTCAGGGAAAAGATTATGAATTCTATTTTGGACATATTGAATTTGAGAAGTATACTGGACATCTGGTTCAAAATGTCCACTAGACAGTTGTTGCCGCAGGCCTGGGCTCAGAAGAAAATCCAGGGCTAGAAACATAGATCTGGGAGTCAGCTGCATAGAGATGATAACTGAACCCATGGGAACCATGAGGCAATCAGCAGAGAGAATATAGAGAGAAAAGGGCCCAAGATAGAGCCTTAGGATAGCCTTATCTGACCACAATCTTTTGGCTTTCCACCTCTCCCTCTGCCTTCCCTTACCAAATTCTATTCTTTGTCCATACTGTGAACTCCAATCCCTCAACCCTTCAATTCTCTACCAGGTTATTTTCTCGTACTAGCTACTCCCTCCTCTCTTCTTCTTTAAACCTAAGCCTAACTCTTGGTGAACCAGTTCAACTCTAGACCATTCTCCCATCCTGAGTCCCTTACCATTTTACCAATTTCACCCTGCCAAGCTTCCTTGGATCACTCTCACCATCTTCCATCTTCATTCCTACATACATGCTTCTGAACAAAGGTGGAGAAAAACATGAAACTGACTGGGTGCACTATAATTTTATGTTATATAACCTCAACTGGGCCCTCACTGATGCCACACAATCCCACTCTCCACAGAAGCTTTTCCAAACTTTTTCATCCTTTCTCAAATTTCCCATGGCTTCTCTTTCCCCTTCTCTCTCAGCTGAGAACCCTGCCTCATATTTTATCAAAAAAAAATTGAGGTCATTTGCCATTAGCTCCCTCTTCTCTCCTCTTCCTTATCTCATATCACTTGGATGTCTTCTGCTGCAATCTCTTCCTTCACATCTATCTCACACAAAGAGGTGGCCCTTCTCCTTGCAAAGGAAACTCCCACTCTATTCTCTCTCCTCCAACAGTTTGCCCCTGTCTTCCTGACTCTATCATGTATCTTCAATTTCTCCTTGTCTACTGGTTCCTTCCCTACTGACTACAAACACGCCCATGTCTACTCAAAAAATCTTCACTTCATCTTTCCATCCCTGATAACTATTATCCCATATCTGTTCTGCCCTTTGTGGCTAAACTGCTCAAAAAGGCTGTCTACAATAGGTGCCTCTACTTCCTCTCCTGTCACTCTCTTCTTAACCCCTTACAATCTATCTTCTGACCTCATCATTCCACAAAAACGTCTTTCTCCAAAGTTACCAATGATCTCTTAATTGCCAAATCCAATGGTTTTTTCTCTTCATTTTCCTCAATCTCTCTGCAGCCTTTGACACTGCTGATCACCCTCTTCTCCTTGATACTCTCTTCTCTCTAGGTTTTCAGGACGTCTCTCTCTCGGCTCTCTTCCTACCTATTGAACCACTTCTCAGTCTCCTTTGCTGAATCCTCCTTCAGATCATACCAGCTAACTGTGGGTGTCCCCCAGGGTTCTGGGGCCTTCTCTTGTCCATCTATACTACTTTACTTGGTAATCCCATCAGCTCCCATGGATTTAATTATCATCTCTTTATTGGTAATTCTCTTATTTTTTTTGGAGGCAATTGGGTTAAGTTACTTGTCCAGGGTCACACAATTAGTAAGTGTCTGAGGCCAGATTTGAACTCAGGTCCTCCTGACATCAGGCCTGGTGCTCTATCCATTACACCACCTAGCATTTATAGGTAATTCTCAAATCTATCTATCTTTCCCTAACCTCTCTGCTGACCTCCAATCTTGCATCTCCAACTACTTTTCAGACATCTTGAACTGGTTGTCCAGTAGACATTAAGACATCTAATCTTAAACTCAACATGTCTAAAACTAAACTGATTATTTCTTTCCCTAAATCCTCCCACAACTTCGCTAACACTGTTGAGGGCAACCTCATCTTCCCATCCCTCAAGCTCACAACCTAGGTGTTATCCTCAACTTTTTACTATTTTTCACCCCCACATATCCAATCTGTTGCTAAGGACTGTCTATCTCACCTTTGGGATATATCTATAATGTGCCCACTTCTCTCCTTTAATACTGCCACAACCCTGGTGTTGGCCTTCTTCACCTCATAATTAGACTACTACAATAGTCTGTTGATGGGTCTGTGTGCCCCAAGTCTTTCCCCACTCCAGTCTATTCTTCATTTAGCTGCCAAGATGATTTTCCTAAGGTGGCGGTCTGACCATGTCACCCCACTTCTCAATCAACTCCAGTGGCTCCCTATCACCTCTAGGGAGCAAATACAAAATGCTCTGCATGTCATTCAAAGTCCTTCATAACCTAGCCACTTCCTACCTTTCAAGTCTTCTTACACCTCACTACTCAACATGCACTTATTCCTCCAACAAGACACATCTCTTGGCTCCAGGCATTTTCACTGGCTATGTCTCATATCTGGAATGCTCTCCTTCCTCATCTCAGCCCAATAGCTTCCCTAGCTTCCTTTTAAGTCCTAACTAAAATCCCATCTTCTAAAGGAAAGCTTTCCCAATCCCTCTTAATTCTAGTGCCTCCCACCTTTTAATTGTTTCCTATTTATCCTATACATAGTTTGTACATAATTGTTTGCTTGTTGTCTCTGTCATTAGATTGTGAACTCCCTTCGGGCAGGAATTGCCTTTTGCCTCTTTTTTTTCATCCCCAGTGCTTAACAGGGTTCCTGGCACATGATACATACTTAGTAAATGTTTATGGACTGACCAACTGACTTTACCCATGGTTAGGGAGTGGATCATGGATGAAGATTCAACAGAGATCGATAAGGAATACTAAGATAAACAGGAGGAGAACCAAATGAGAACAGTGTCATAAAAACCTAGTGAGAAGAGAGTATTGAGGAGTACAGAGTGGTCCACAGTGCCAAATGTTGTAGGGAGGTCAAGAAGGACAAGAATTGAGAAAGGCCAGTGGACTTAGCAATTGATGAATCATTGGTAACTTTGGCCAGAGGAGTTTCAGTTGAGTGATGAGGTTGGAAGCCAGAGTGCAAGTAGGTTGAGAGATATTAAGAAGAAAGAGAGAGTATAGGAGATGAGTATATACAGCTTTTTTAAAAAGAACATTGGCTGTAAAAGAGAAGAGAGATATAGATTGAGGGGATGGTAGGGCCAAGTGAGAGCTTTTTAAGGTTGAGAAAGACTGATACGATTGTAGTCAGTAGAGAGAGAAAGATAAAAGATGGTGGAGACAATCTTTCAGAGATTAGAGGAGATGGAATGAAGGGGTTGACCTTGATGAGAAGAAAGGTCACCTTTTCCTTTGATACGACAAGAAATAAGGAGAGAGTAAGAGATGAGGAAGAGGGGCTTTGGTGCTGCCTCTCAACACTAAGATCCAAGGTCAGATCCTTTGCATAGAGACAACATTCCTTTCCCTTCACTGCCACCTCACAAATTCCTGCTAGATGCTAATCTCAGCGGTGCTTACTGTACATGACATTGGAGGCATAGAACTGGGGATCCTGGGGGTGCATTTCAGCTGCATCCAAGCTGAGCCACTGCATGTTTTCTGGCAAGTACCAGCTGCGGTTCTCATCAAAGATGGAGAAGAGGAGCACATTTCTCTTGTCTGACATCATCTAAAGAAACCAAAATAAGAACATTTTTAAAAATTTCAACAACCTGATTTCCTGGGTGTGGGCCATTTTCCCACCAATGCATATCCCTATTCCCCTGTAACTTAGTAGATGGTTTTTGAGATTGTCCATGGCCAAAAATGTCATCACCCTTAATCCAAGCTGGCAATAAGCCTCTCCAAACTGGAGCTGATCTTCACATATAGTCAGCCCATCACCAGGCCCATATTATACTTCTCCAAATCACAGACTCTCAGGGTTGGAAAGGACTTCAGAAACCCTTTAGTCTGACATGTAATCAAAAACGAGTCCCCTCAATCACAGACATGACAAGTGGTCTTCCAACCTCTTCTTGAAGAGCTCTGATGAGCGGTATAATAACTTCTTTTGTTTTTGGACAGCTCTAATGGTGCGGACCTCTTTCCTCACATTTAGTCTTTATTGACTTGATTCTGTCTTCTACTTCCTGTTCCTGTTTCTACCGTCTGGATCCAAGCAGAACAAGTCTTGATCTTCTTTCACATGCATCCCTTGAAGCACTTGAACAGAGCTCCGATGTCCTCCCAAGTCTTCTCTTTGCCAGGTTTGACACCTCTAGCTCTTTTAATCAATCTTCTTGAGCCCTAATTTTGGGGATTTTCATCATCCCACTTGATTTTCTGTGCACAATCTCCAGCTTATCATTGTTCTTCATAAAATGTAGTACTTAGAACTCAACCCCAATACTCTCAACCCCGATACTCCAGAAGCATCTTGAACAGAGTAGCAGACGAGTTCTCTCTAACTTCTCATTTTTGTTACTTTGTCTCTTTTAATACAGTCTAACATCATCCTAGTTCTTTTGGCAGCTTTATCACCCTGCTGACTCCTGTTGCGCTTGAAGTCTGCTAAAACCCCCAGATCTTCTTCAGACCACCTGCTGCCTGGCTATGCCTCCCTTGTCTTATACTTGTGAAGTTGATTCTTTGAACCCACTCATAAGGCTTTACATTTATCACAATTGACTTCCATCTTTTTTGTTTGTTTCATCCCAACATTCCATTCCCTATCATTTGATGCATTATAACAATCCTAGCCTTGGATCAATCATCTGCAAATTTGATGAATGAATGAAAAAGTGTTCACTAAGCACCTACTGTGTGCCAACCACTGGGGAGACAGACACAAAAAACAAAGCCAGTTCCTGAACTTAAGAAGCTTACATTCTTTTTTTTTTAAATTTTTTTTTTAGAAGCTTACATTCTAATGGGAGAGACAACATACACAGAGAGGAGTGGTGGCAAGGGAGAGGCACTTGGGTCCTTAAAGTTTGATGGCTAATGAGTATGAAACTAGTGCAGTAGATTGACACACCCTATCATGGAATAATATTGTGTTCCTGGTTTCATCCTTCCTGATGAGGGGATGGGGGGGAAGAGAGGAAGGGTCCTCACACAAGAGGAACAAGTAGTGGTCTATGCCTCCTTCACCCTACAACCACCACACTGGTGCAAGTCCTCTTTCTCCTAGACCACTACAGTAGCTTCCTCATTGAATTTCCTACCTCATATCTCTCCCCATTCCAGTCCATACTCTACTCAGCTACCAAAATGACCATCCTAAAGCACAGATGTGAATACACCAACCTCTGTGCCTCCCTCTTCCCCAGTTAGTAAACTCCAGTGGCTCCTTATTCCCTCCAAGATCCAATCTAAAGTCCTCTATTTTAGTATTTAAAGCCCTTCACAATGTGGGCCCTCCCTTGGTTTCCAGTCTCCTCATGCAATACTTTGTTCTGCTCCTCTGGGTCCACTCCCATTTCAGTGCCTTTGTACTAGCTCCCTCCTGTGGCTACAATGTTCTCCCTCCTTTTGGTTTCCCTAGATTCCTTCAATTCTCAGCTCAAATCAAATCTGCAAGAAGGCAAGTGATTGTAAGGAATAAGTGAAGGTTCGATTGTAACACAACACGGTCTTGGGGTGTAGTCTTTTAGAATTCTTTAACTCTTGCCAAGAACAGGTGCACATACAGGATCCAAACCTAAACAGATTGTTTGGCCAATGTTATTCATGCACCTAAGTCCTGATAAATTTATCAATGAAGAAACAATTAGATGACAGTTCTGAAAAAAAAATTCTGAGAAATAGTTGTATTTGATGTGAGTTATCTTTGTTGTTGTTGTTCAGCAGTTTTCAGTTATGTCCGACTCTTCATGACCCCATTTGGGGTTTTCTTGGCAAAAATACTAGACTGACTTGCCATTTCCTTCTGCAGCTCATTTTACAGATGAGAAAACTGAGACCAACAGAGGTTAAGTGCCCAGGGTCACATACTAGTAAATGTCTGAGGCCATATTAGAACTCAGGTCTTCCTGACTCCAGGCCCAGCACTCCATTCACTGCACCACCTAGATGCCCATTATTTTTAGATACCTCTGAAAGTTACTCTTGTTACCTGTATAAAAAAGAGTGCTGTTACTGATCTCTCTTATAGTTTCTAGCAGACTGCCTATATGCATATACTTTAGATGTTGCTAATTTTCCTCTTTTCAATACGTTCCCTATTATTTCAAAGATTGTCTCCATATGGGTTCATTTCAACCTAACAATTTGGCATGGTCAGCAAAATTCTTGGGTGCTGGAGGAACAGTGATTAAATGTCCAGTGAGTATTTGTGGCTACTTTCTGGCAGATTAGAGACCCCAACTTTCTAAAAAAAAATTTTTTAAGTCTCCCTGCTAGGTCTCTACTCATTGACTCAGGAAGTAAAGATGTATGAGAAAATTGGAGATTGGGTATTGGAAATTGGAAAATGTTTCTCAAGAGATCCTGCCTGTCTTCACTAGCTAAAATGGTAGAAAAATAAGGAAATATTGGGTATGTTACAAGCAGATATCTATCTCTCTCAGAGGGTTATCTCTCTGTCATGTCTGGCATGGTTATACTTATAAAACGCCAAATTTGCAGTTGCCAGAGGAGGGTTCATTTGAAGAAGACAAGCTAGTTTATCTAAGGGGATTTTTAGAAACCCCACATCCAAAGCAAATGGATTATTGGTATCTTTTGAATGAGTCTTGCCTCCAATAAACATAAGAATGATTTAGGGATCAGCCCAGCAGAACATATAGCCAGCGGGCAGGTATGCTGTGCAGGCCTACCCTAAGGGAACTTTGCAAAGTCAGTTTTGCTGAGGGATTTGCATAAAGCAGGCCTGCACAATATACCACCTGTGGGCGGCTTTGGCGGGCCACAAGTGGCCTGCAGGCCATATGTTATGCAGGCCTATAAAATTTAGTCAGAAAGGAAAAAAATGAAAGAAAATGGAAGAAGAGGTGAGACCATTAAAAGCTCACTCACTCTCTTGGTGCACTCAGATAGTACTTGTCATTGAAAATCGTGGTTTTAGCTTTTGGTTTTTGCTTTTACCTAATTTGCCTGTTAATCTGTTGGGAAAAAACCTGCCATGTAAATTATGGACCATCATATTCTGTATCCCAGAGATGGTGTTTTTAGAACTCTGGGAGAAGGGTCATCTGATTTTTCATAGGTAGCTAGGTGGCACAGTGGATAGAGCACTGGGCCTGGAGTCAGGAAGACCCCTAGTTCAAATTCAGTCTCAGAGACTTACTAACTGTGTAACCTTGGGCAAGTCACCTCACCTCTGTTTGCCTCAGATTCCTCATCTATAAAATGGAGTTAACAATAGCCCCTACCTCCCAGCGTTGTTGTGAGGTTCAAGTGAGATTGTATGTACCTGGCCCACAGTAAATACTATATAAATATTAGCTACTTGATATCAATGGGCCTTCAGGTTTAGGAGGGGGATCGGGGAAACTGACAGTTTCATCTCATGATGGAAAAGTACCCTGAGTTAAAAGAAACTGATCTGGTTAGGGGTCCACTCTAGTAATGGTATTATCTTGATGAGAGGAATTAAACCAATTATGATTAATTATTATGAGGATAAGCCCTGGCTGTGTGTTAAGCAATATCCTTTGTCTCAAGCTCAAATTGAAAGAATACAACCAGTAATAGAGAAACAAGGAGTGATCAAAAAGGGGCAGATGCCATTTAATACACCTATCTTGTTGGTAAGAAAAGGTAGACAAATGTGACGAAGGTTGGCATATATTCACTTTGTACAAGATCAAAAAGTTGTAAATAAATTTGGTATTCCTGTGACTCCTGTTGTTCCCAATACTGTTATTATGCTAACTTCTGTGGTTCTTTTCAGTAATCAATCTTTGAAGGCCATTGTATCCACTCCAGTATTAGGTCAACCCAATTTGAATGAACTTTTCCATTGATTTTGCCACAAGAAAGAAGAAGCAACAAGTGAAGTTCTCACTCAAAAATTAGGGCCAGATACCAACCCATAGCTTATTTCTCAGTTCACTTGGATCTTATTGCCCTCAGGATGTCAAGATGTCCATCAGCAGTGGCTTCAGCTGCTATTACAGTGGAGAAAATAAAGGCCCTAATCTTAGAATGTTTGACCTATTTGCACATTTTCTATGCAGTAACAACATTGCAAGTCCATAAGATTCAACATCTTGTTATAAGATGTCAGACTACTCATGAACAAGGCAGGAAGAGTGGGAGCTGACTTCCTGTTACTCCATTTTCCATCCCCAGATCAGCACAGTCATGTAGCCATGGAAAGAAGAGAGCAGGAGAGTACTCCAGCTCAATAGAGATGTCCCGCAGTAGCTGAAACACCTACAAATGGAAAGGACAGAAGAAGCAGGGATCCCAGCTCAGCAGAGACACCCAAATGAAACAAAGATGGCCAGCCATGGAAAGATTAGGACAGAAGAGGAACCTAGCTTTGCAAAGATGCTCAAAAGCAGAAAGGGCATTGAAGCAAGGAAAAAAGGGACTCAAGGAAAGCAGAGATACCCATAGACGTAGGTAAGCCCAGCAGTGGGGAAAAAGAGGAGAGGACCCCAGGTCAGCAGTGATGCCCAACAGTAGCACAGCCACCCGACCATGGAAAGAACAGAATAGAGGAGGATCTCAGCTCAGCAGAAAAGACATCCAGCAGTAGAATTAACACACCAAGAGAGAACCTCAGCTCTATGTCTAGAAGTAGTAGAGATGCCCAGAAGTAGAATGAACAGAAGTGGAGCTCACCTCAGCAAAGAAAGTGGCTCACCTAATGACATCACCAGATGACATCAGTCTCTCTAGAGTTAGAAGTATGAGTTGTTCTAGACACACATACACACATATACATATATACATATATATGTGTGTATATATATGTAATTTGTATGTGTTCCCTACATGTAGGCCTTATCACACATGTTCTCTGCATTTGTACCTTGCTTGTCTAATGATATGGTAACCAGTAGGGTTGTATGTTCCTCTATATGGGCAAAATCTTTTTTGTCCTTTATTTAGCCATTTTCTTTAATTAAATGTCTTTTCTTTGAACTACTGTATTCTCCAGTTGACCAGTAAAAGAAACACACTGAAGGGGCTCCTGAGTGATGATATTTCCTTGGCTCCTAACCGTCCCTACAATTTGTAGCTTCCATCAGAGCAGTCCTCTGAGTAGTGCCCATGTGAGGAAAGGGAAAGACGTACCTGATTTCCTCTTTGATCCACAGTTTCTTTATGGCATATGAGGAGGGGCCCAATGAGGCCCGAAGCCAGGTCTCGTTCTGCATTGACAGAGCTGGAGTAGTACCTAGTCAGGCATCTGGGATCTGCATGAGTTGGCCCATCCTCCAAAGTTACTTCCCATTTATATTTGAATGTCTGGCCTGGCATGATCGGCACTTCCTTGACATCTTTCACACCTACCCGCAGCCAAGGCAAAAAACAGAAATAGCTTTAGGAGATTTTAACAACTACACATGGAAATTCCAGTTTATGATCTAGAACAAGATGTGGCCAAGCAATTACTCAATATACACATAAAAACCTCCTCTCTCTCTCTCTCTCATACACACACACACACACACACACACACACACACACATTCACAGAGTCCTCTAGTCAGAAAGATGAGTTGGGGGAAGTGGCACCAAAAAGTAGGAACAGCAGCAAGCAGTACAGCTGAGTTCCCCTTCCCCCCTAAAGAATTCCTCCAAATAGATTTAGAGAATGCACCAGATTGAATCCTGATGCAGAAATCCAAGGAAAAATCACAGTGACTCATTTTTACAGTCCAGGTTGGCAAATACAGACAGAAACATCTGAGGACACTGGAGCCAGGTTCTGGCCAGGAATGCGCAGTGTATAATACCTGTGACCAAGGGCAAGACCTGTCCCAAACTCATACTGTAACAGATTGTATGAACAGGTGCCATCTGGCAGCTTTGTTGCCCACTACCCAGTTCCACGTCATAGATCCAGGGCACACTGAAAAGGGAAATTGTACCCAGAGCAAAATGAGCAAATTAAAAAAAATATCACCATAAAAATCTATTATGATGACAGGTACTCTCAGGACATAAACCCAGAAGAAAAGAATGACTCCCAAATAGCTTCAACTAAAGCCTCAAAGAAAAACACAGTTTGGGCACAAATTCAACTAGAATTCCTAAAAGAGATGAAGTAAGCATTTTTTTAAAGAGTTTTAAGATATTTTTATCTATGAAATTAGAGTGCTTGAAGGGGAAAATGGAAAAGAAACGAGAGCTATGGAAGAAAGAATTGGAAAGGGAACTAACAGTTTGGCACAAGACGTACAAAATTTTGCCCAAGAAACAAACTCCTTGAAACTTAGAATGAATGAAATAGAAGCCAATAACTCCATGAGACATCAAGAAACATTAGAACAAAGTCAAAAAGCTGAAAAAAAAATTGAAGAAAAGGTAAGGTAGATGATATCCCAAACAAAGTGACCTGGAAAATAGATCAAGGAAAAAAAAAGAAAAGAAAATAGATTAAGGAGATGGCAGAGTGAGAGGAAGCATTAGTGTCTAGCTCTGCCCCTACACCTCCTCAACAAAGATCGAGAGAACGTACCAGACTGAATTTTGATCAGGACAACAAAAAAGAAGCCGTCATTTGTCTAGCCCAGGGCCACTTGGAGAGATGGGTAGAGAGGTCTGCATACACTGAGGTTGAGATCTGCCCAGAAGTGTGCGGCAGCAACAGCAATGGTGGTGGCAATTGTGGAAACTGAGAGAGGGCCAAGTCAGGGAAAGATCCCAGGGGATCCCTGAGCAAACCCTAGGTGCAGAAATGAGGACATCTGGCAGCTCTGTCACCAACTACCCAGTGCTAAGTCACAAATCCAGGGCAAAGAGGAGTGATTGTGACCTTCAGCCCTAGAAACAAGTTCTGTGCAAACAGTAGCTGTGTGGCTCTAATCCCTGGAGCACAGCTCAGTTTCCAAGACCAAAGAGCAGCCAGAAGTTCAGTCACTTTGGACCTGCAAAACCTCCCAGAGGGCTGACAGTAGCTGAATAAAGCAATAGTCTGCTGAAACTCCCAACCAGAAACTCACTGTTAGACCAAAACCTGGATCTGGAACTTGCAGATCTCCAACCAACAGAGCAATGAACAGACATCCCCAAGGGTCACAGGCTGGAGCAACTGACGCAACTGAAGGATGTAAAAGGACAGAAGTTCAGGCCAGATATCCTTCCCCCCCCCCCCACATCATCTCCCACCCCAAGAAGTGTGCAGAACCCAGCACTAGCATAAGTCCAAAATCAAGAAGTAAGCTGGAAGAATGAACAAACAAACAAAAAAGAATTCCACCATAAAGAGTTATTTTGATGACAAGGAAGCTCAAGACACAAAACCAAAAGGCAAGAATGAATCTAAACTATATATAATCAAAGCTTCAAAGAAAAATGCAGCTTGGACATAAGTCCAACCAGAATTTCTGGAAGAGTTAAAGCAAGACTTTTTTTTAATGCTAAAAAAAATTGTTTTAAAAAACAAATGAGAGTAGTAGAGGAAAGAATGGGAAAAGAAACAAGATCAAAGGAAGAAAAGAGAATTAGCAGCTTGGAACAAGAAGTACAAAACTGTACCAAAGAAAATAATTTTCTGAAAAGTAGAATAGGCCAAAAAGAAGCTCCATGAAAATCAAGAAATACTAAAACAAAGTCAAAAGACTTAGAAAACAGAAGAAAATGTGAAAGATAAGAAAAAAACTGACTTGGAAAATAGATCGAGGAAAGAATCAATAAAATATATATACCATTAGCTAATGGCTTGATTATTAAGAAAAAGAAGAAAACCAAACTACCAATATAAAAAATGAAGAAGGTAAATTAACAACCAACGAAGAAGAAATAAAAACAATTATTAGGAACTATTTCACCTAACCATATATCAATAAAACTGACAATCTAAATGAAATGGATGAATATTTACAAAAATATAAGTTGCCCAGTTTCATAGAACAGGAAATAATATTTAAATAACCCTATCTTAGAAAAGAAATTGCACAAGTCATAAATTAACTCCAAAAGAAAAAACTCTAAGACCAAACAGATTTACAAGTGAATTCTACCAAATATTTAAAGAATGATTAATTCAATGCTACATAAACTTGAATAAGTAGGTAAAGAAGAGATCCTACTAAATTCCTTCTATAACACAAATAAGATCCCTAAACCAGGGAGAGTCAAAACAGAGAAGGAAAACTATGCACCAACTTCTCTAATGAATATTGATGCAAAAATTTTAAATAAATATTAACAAGGAGACTACAGCGATATATCACAAAGATCAAACGCTATGACCAGGCAGGATTTATATCAGGATTGCAGGGCTGGTTCAATATTACGAAAACTATAAGCATATTTGGCTGTATTAATTAAAAAAAACAATAAAATTCATGTGATTATTTCAATAGATACAGAAAAAGCTTTTGACAAAATACAATACCCATTTCCGTCTAAATAAAAAATGCAAGAAAGCATAGGAATAAATGGAGCATTCTTTCAAATGATAACAAGTAGCTATCTAAAACCAAGAGCAAGCATTATTTGCAATGAGGATAAGCTAAAAGCATTTAGTAAGATCAAAGTTGAAGCAGGAATGTACATTATCACCACTACTATTCAATATCATATTAGAAAATGCTAGCTATGACAATAAAAAAAGAAAAATAAATTGAAGGAATAAGTATAGGCAATGAGGAAATAAAACTATCATTTTTTTGTACAGGTAACATGATGATTTACCTAGAGAATCCTAAAGAATCAACTGATAAACTAGTTGAAGCAATTAACAACTTAAACAAAGTTTCAGGATATAAAATAAATCCACACAAACCATTAGCATTTCTGCATATTACCAACAAAGTCCATCAAGAAGAGATAGAAATAGAAATTCCATTTAAAATAACCATGAACAGTATAAAATATTTAGGAGTCTACCTATCAAGACACACACAAGAACAATCCAAACACAATTATAAGACAGTCTTCACAGAAAAAATGCAGATCTTATTTAGACTGGAGAAATAATAATTGCTCATGGGTAGCCCAAGTCCAGTATCATAAAAATGATAATACTACCTAAATTAATTTACTTATTCAGTTCCATAACAAACTACCAAGTAATTATTTTATAGAGTTAGAAAAAATAACAATTCATATGGAAGAACAAAAGAAATCAATGGAAAAAAAAAAGAAGGGACAGAGGGGAGCCTAGCAATACCATATCCCAAACTATATTACAAAGCTGTAATCATCAAAACAGTTTGGTAATGGGTAAGAAATAGAAAGGTTAATCAGTAGATGAGGCACAGAATATACAGAAGCAAATGAGCACTGTAATCCAGTGTTCAATAAACCCAAAGATCCCAGCTATTGGGACTAGGTAGTGTAGTGGATAGAGCACCAGGTCTGGAGTTAGGAAGACCTGAGTTCACATCTGACTTCAGACACTTACTAGCTGTGTGACCCTGGGCAAGTCATTTAATTTCTGTTTGCCTCCATTTCTTCAGATGTAAAATGGTGATAATAATAGCCCTTATCTCCCAGGGTTGTTTTGAGGATCAAATGAGATAATAATTGTAAAGTGCTTCTTAAAATGTTAGCTATTATTATTATTAAAAAAAAAACAATTGTTGGGAAAACTGAAAAGTAATCTGGCAGAAACTAGGTACAGAGTAACATCTCATGCCATACACCAAGATAAGCTCAAAATAGGTACATGATTTAGACAGAAAGGGTGACATCATAAGCAAATTACTACAACATGAAAGAAATTACCTGTCAGATTTATGGATGGGGCAGAGTCCGTAGTTAAATAAGAGATAGAGAAGTTCAGAAGACATAAAATGAATAATTTTGATTACATAAAATTAAAAAGCTTTTGCACAAACAAAATCAATGCAGCTAAAATTAGAAGAAAAGCAGAAAAGTGTGGGGGGAATCTTTGGGGCAAGTTTTTTCTGATAATGGTCTTATTTCTAAGATATATATGGAACTGAGTCAGATTTATAAGAATAAGAGTCATTTCCTAATGTGAAAATAGGTGCACTAATGTACTACTGTTTAAGCTGTGAATTAGTCCAGCCAGTCTGGAAAGCAATTTGGAACTATGCTCAAAAAGCTATTAAACTTTACATACCTTTTGACCCAGTGATACTGCTATTGGGTCTCTACCCCTAAAGAGATCAAAGAAAGAGGAAAAGGACCTACATATACAAAAATATTTATAGCAGCTCTTTTTATGGTGGCAGAGAATTGGAAACTGAGGAGATGCCCATCAATTGGGAAATGACTGAAATAAGTTATGGTTTATGAATATGATAGAACACTACTGTGCCATAAAAAATGATGAAAAACATGAGAAAACTTATATGAACCAATGCAAAGTG